CTAAGACTAATTCAGAGACAATGACTCAACGCCAGAAGCAACCAGATGCAACTCGTATGGTCCCAACGGGAATGACCTCCTCCGATATAGGACATGTGCTGCTTCGGTTAGCGCGCAGGACCGTGGAACACTCAAGACATAATCTGTCATGCCATGATAAGAGCATCAGCTGACCCGATCACGCGTGGAGAGAAAAAGATGGCATTGCTGCAAGAGAGAAAGAGAGAGAGGGACCATGTTTGCTGCATGGCAGGGCAGGCAGGCTGGGGGTGGGAAAAAGAAAGGACACGGCCGAGAACCCAGTTCGGAACAGATGTGCCGTGAAAATCAGGCTGCTAGCGTTGGAGGCAGCGCTAAGGCACCTCGGCCCAGCTACCCTGTCCAGTTGCAGTTTTGCTGTTGTGTCGGCGATACGCAGTCTCCGAAGCCGGGGTCATCAATCTTGGCGCCGGCGTATGGCCGACCTTTTGCCGGCCCAGACAGTTCTCGACCCGTCTCAACGTTCAACATGACCGACCACATTATCATATTCTCTTTACAATTGCTGACAAGTGTGGGTGGAATGCAGTAGTGTCTGCCAGAAGTATCTTGTGACGGTTTTACTCGGGCAACTCCGTGGAGTTTCGTGGCCGACCGATTACTATTGTTCATCCGGTGGATGATGAGTGGATTACTAAGGTGTGACTAGGCATGAGACATGCACTAGCCACATCATTGTGGCATTGTGGCGCAGGCAACCTGTGGCTTGTGGGGGTATGTCTGTTCGCGTTGGCACCTATCGACTAGTTGGTCTGTATCGATGATCGGCAACTACGGAGCAGACCCTGATGCATCATCCAGCCAGGGCAGGCAATGCTGAAGAAAGGATCTTCGGCTTTTCTTGCTTTGCCGCGCACCGACTCCTTCCCACTCCTTTTCGTCGGTCGTACATGTCATCTGTAAGGGTTTTCACTCTTGGTGGTCCGATCGCAAGACAAACACGAGATCGGTATCTGGTTCTGCATTGCTTCTCAGATGCCATGTTTTACTTAAGCAACGGCATTGTGGCTGAGCCGTGTCCCATTGGCTGCCTCGGTTCCAGAGGTGGAAAAACTAAAAAAGTTACAAAACAAACGATGCTTCTTGACACACGGTGTGGAGTCCGATTCTGGTGTTTTGGTGCGACTAACGGATTACTAGTTTACCCGACTATATCGGACTTGTAGCCCTGTGTAGACTGGTAGGGATTTATCAGATAGATTAATTTACATCGAACTAACTGTAGCTGAAGAATCCATCCCTACCAGTCCTACAGTACTCACCTGGTGCATTTCCTTCTTTACCCTGAATTGATTAGATATGTTATGACCAATAGATAATTTACTCCATTCAAGAAACTGCCAGAAATTTCCATCTCCCGTAGAATCCGAGATATTTCGGGTTAATCATCTATCTGGACTTATCGGACGAAACAGCTGAGGGTTTAGCGGATGCAGAAGTTTACTAAGTTTACCAGACAGTGCAGGCATGCTGAAGGGAAGGAGGGGAGGGAAAAAGCAAAAAGACCAAAACCAATGGAAAAAAGAAAAATACCCACTTGGGAGACTGGGATTGTGGCTTGGGGGCTTTCGGGGGTGGGACCGCATTGGATAACCAGCTCCCCGGAGATGCAGATCGAAAAAGTGCAAGTCAAAGTGGGTCTCTGCCTGGTGGTAAGGCAGGTAAGTTTTACGTGTTCGGCCGTACGTACGGGTATGACGGAGTAAAGTATGAGGGATAGGTATGAATAAGTTACTACCAACCAGCCAGAGTACGCTTAACCCGATCGGGCGAAAAATAAAAAAAAATTCGAGTCACAGAGGAAAGCGATCGTCGGGCTTGTCCGTTAGTGGTGTTTCTAGTCTAGTTACTTACTGACTGAACTGAGAGTATGCGGCAGCAACGTCATCCCCATAATAAAAGAGCCATCCTCTCCCCCTCCGCTTCAGCTATGCTCTCCCTTTCCCCTCCCATCATTATCTCTCAATTTTAAATCATCCCAATTGATGACTCTTTTACATCAGACTTGTTCATCTTATTAAATACCCTGGTCTGCCTCTCCACCCCGACCGGTCTTCCCCATTACCAATTCAACCTTCCCCCCTTCTACTACACCTGGTGTTCCTCCCCCAATACCCGTGGTCCTCCGATCTACAGTAAGTTGGCTCGTACCAATCTTGCCCCCCACCACCCCCCATCCTTACGTTGTCTACCTTCTTGTCCTTTTCTCTTTCTTCTTACCTGGTCTTTGCATCATTTGGATCAGATTGAGTCTAACCAGGCCTTTCTTGAACTCTAGTTTTTGTCTTTACCAAGGGTTTTACACCGACAAAGCCTTCACTATTGACCTCCCGCCTTCCTGATTGGACCTTCCACTACTCGACGTTTCCAGACTCTTCGACACGCATTGCCTGTCTACTTGAATCTCCGGATCACTCCGTTTCGCTGTTCTCGTTGACTCATTTCTCCGGTTGGCAACACTTCGCACTCATACGCTTGGCCCCTTGAAAGAGTTTAGTGGGGGCCGCTGGTAGCCAACACCTACTATATTATAACCTTCAGTCGACACCCGGTGGCAAATTCCGTGTCTATACCTGCCCACCACCCCGTCGGCGTCATTCTCCCTTTGACGTCCAATCGCGAACAAGCACATTATGTTCATGCACCCTGCTGCACGTAAGGGTTTGATCACTGAACCAACTTCCATCCCCTATCTCAACTACCAAGATCCCGTTTGCATACAAGACGACCAGATTCTCGACTACTCTCAAGAAGCCGCTCTCCACTTTCTCGGCCAACAACAACCTCGATTGCAGACTCCTTTCCAGTACCAACCGGATTTGCAGTTCGTCTCTCCGCCGTCTTCCGCTCCTTCCTCTCCTACTTCCTCACCCGCCTCCACCATCTCCCACTATCCTGCGACAACAGCGGTTGCCGCGGATTACTCCTCTGCCGTCTTCGACGGCAATTCTTTCGAGGCTCCTTCGATGACACCCTCCTCCTCCTACAACCCTTCCATCAACATCCATCACTCAGCATCACCACCCTCACAAGCCTACCTTCCCCAATATACTCAACCTTACTACTTCAACGGCAACCCGATGTTGGCACAACAGTCTGTCGCAAACAACCACGGTTGGGAAGGCAACTTGCAGCTGCTGGGCCCAGCTCGCCTCCAGAACAATCTACTGAAAGCCTCTGCTAGTCCATCCTCGAGCCGCTCTGCACCCGCTGGCAGTTCTTACTCAAGGACAAACGGTGCGGCCAAGCCTCTGCCTACCCCTGTGCAGACACCCGTGCAGTCCTTCCAAGATGGTAGCCAGACCGACGCCGATCTTGCCATGAGACGGGCGATTTTGGAGCAGCAACAACAGCAACAGCAACAGCAGAAGCAGTCTCGTCACCAGCATCAGACCAGCGACTACTCTCTAGCGCCTTCTGTATCGAGCGTGAGTCACAACTCGCCAGTGACTCCTCATACGGGCTTCGAAGACCTCGATGACGCATCGAAGGCGATTGTAAATGGTGAGAACCGGTTTCCCGACGTAGACAAGTGGATGGATGATTACTTACGCCTCGATGCGCTTTCAGACTACAACAACCACAACGCGAACAACAACATGACCATTGGCATTCCCAAGCTCAACCGCACGATTTCCGACATTTACCAGGACGAGCTTTACAACCCCGCCATGATGTCTACTCCACAGATGGCTAAGCCCGCGACAAACCAGCAGAATCTCCTGGCACCATCGTTCCGGAATGTGATCGCCGATCGCCTTCAGGCTGCCAACCAGGGCCACTTGACCGCACGGTCCCAGTCTCCCATGGTGAACATGCCGCGCGATCGCTCTCCCTTCCGCCAGAACTCTCCTCTGGCTGCTGAGTACAACCATGCGGCTTTGCAACAACCTCAGATGGCCACCAGCGCCCCTACATCCCAGAATGGGGTGAACATGGGCCAGGCGGCCCAGGGAGGAGAGCCCAAGACGATGTCCCCCAAAGATGCACTGCTGGACTTCAATGAGGGTGACGACACTGGCTTGCCTCTCTTCCCCCCTTCGTCACAGCCCGACTTCAATCTGGGCGATGCACTCGGACTACGCCGCGAGAGTTCCGGCTCATTCCAGCCGACTCAGAACTTTACATCGATGGAGTCATTCCCCAGTCAATACGCTACGCAGGGTGCCACTCAGCAGTTCGCCTTCGGCCAACAGCAGAACCACCGTCAGGCACAGCAACAGAACAACAATCTGCTGCATCAGACTCCCGAATTCCCCGCGTCTCTCCCTCGGTTCGACTCTACTGGTAGTGATGTGCTGCCTTCGACTGAGATGACCTCCCCACAGGCATCGCAGAAGATGCCAATGCAGGAACCACCGGTCAAGGAAGAGATCAGTCGACCGGAGAACACTTCGGCCGATGGAGGCACCTACACCTGCACATACCACGGCTGCACACTACGCTTTGAGACCCCGGCCAAGCTGCAGAAGCACAAGCGCGAGGCGCACCGTCAGACCACCCCTGGTGGTCACCTGGTTACTCGCGATACGTCGGCCCGCAATTCGCAGGCCGGACCACACAAGTGTGAGCGCATCAATCCGTCTACGGGCAAGCCGTGCAACTCTGTGTTCTCCCGGCCTTACGATCTTACACGGCACGAGGACACCATCCATAATGCTCGCAAGCAAAAGGTGCGGTGTCATCTGTGCACGGAGGAGAAGACCTTCTCGCGCAATGATGCGCTCACCCGGCACATGCGCGTGGTGCATCCAGAGGTTGACTGGCCCGGAAAGCAACGGCGCAGAGGGCGGGAGTGAAGCTTGGGTGGATCAGCCCCAGTTTCCAGCCCCCCCCCCCCTTCTTTTCTTCTCCTTTCCCCCCTCCTCTCCTCTCACAATTCCAATCGAGTGGACCGACAAGGGGTGTGTGGAGGATGGGGATGGTGAGTGCCATTCAGCAGCCCCGGCGGTGACAGCATGAGATCCACCGGGTTTCCCTCACCATGACGGATCCCAAAAGCCTCCGACGTCATGGGCTAGTCCCCATCAGGCAAGGACTCGCTAACGGGCCCGGATCGACGGTCGCACCTGCTTTATCGGGCAATTGTGGAGCTTGAGTACGTGCACCCAATGCAGCAGCCATGACGTCATGGATGCACCCTTTGGGACGGGCGGCCCGCCGATGGACCAATCAGCGGGCCGATGACGTATCGATCTCTTTTTCAGCGAACGAGCAGGCCTTTTTTTGCTTCTTTGGGCTTCTTTCTTTTGCGATGCTTTTCTTTGTTTTGCATTACATGCCATGGGTCTTAGATTTCTTTTGTCATTTATTCATCATCTGTGATGTGAACGGTGTTGCTGCGAAATCCTTTCTCATTATTGGGTCACGGTGGTTTTCGGAAATGGTGTTTGCATCAAAAAAAGAATTCCTTTTTTGCGCGTGTGTATATGCAAAGGTCCCGCGTGTCTGCTTTCTTTCCAGCCAGCTTGTTACGAATTTCTGGGGTTTTACGCTTTGTACTATATTGTCCCCTGTATGATTGTTACGTGATGAGATATTTATTGCTGCAACTATTTTTCGTTTGCATTGGGTCGGCATGGTGGTGGGTTTGGCGCGCAGATTGTGATGAAAAAACCATGTACAGTATGAATTGTATACATATATCGTGAAAGACATATATACCACCTACATTATGATTACTTTTCCTTTATTTCCGTCTACTAGTAGAGAATATTGTTTCAGAAAAAAAAGGGGCTATTGGGACCTGTCAGCCTGAAAGCTCTCAATAGTGAGTTTGAGAGCTTTCTAGCGGAAGAAGCTATGAACATTCGCTGCACACTGCACGGTGTCATCGGCAGGTACCCAACTACTTTCCTAAAAAGTACCACAACGAAGACGTTTTGGAAGCCCAAACATACAATAGTTCCAATCTCATAATAATACCAATACCAATACCACTAATAATAAAAATACTCATTATGCATAACACATACCGCCCAATGCACATTGTTAAGGTACTTTTATCAAAGACCCATGGTGCTTGCTGACAGCCATGGTGGTTTCGGAAAGAATGAATGAATGCATGAATGGGAAATGAAATGAAATGGAAAAAGGGCCAATAGGTATGACATCATACATATGCACCCCTGTTCCGGTAGAACTACGGGAAGCTATGCATGGCATCACCATACATCATTTTTCATAACGTACGTACGTACAAAAACCAAGCATGCATGCATGCATGCATGTTTCTGATTTCTTTCCCAATTCCTTTTTTCTTTTTTGTTCTTTCCTTGCTTTATGGGATGATTCATGATTTATTCTCCGAAAATGTGGTTTGTGGCGGTGCAAGGTATGTACTTTTTGAGTCATAGGAGAATTGGTGTCTTGTTAATCAGTTATTGATAATGGGTTAGTCAGTCAGTCAGTGGGAGTTGAGGGTGGGAATGATTAGTAATTCATTCATCGGTAGTTAATTAATTCTATGTAAAGATAACTAACCTGAATTAATAATATTAGACTATCGTACGTACTTTTAATTCATTATTTCTAAGAGTAACTAAAGAGTAATTAATCTAATGATAGAGTCATGCGTATGTATATATGACTGAGCTAGTTACCCTATAAAGTAATCCCCACTGACTCACCTATCTAGTATTTCCGAGTGAAGTATGTAAATCATTCCCCACATAGTTAGTTAACCCCTCTTTTTCATGAGGTGGGTTGGGGAGGGGGATCCACAGTAGTAAATCATTTAGTCCACTTTCAAGTCCACTTTTGAAGGAAGGTCCCTTGGGTACGCAATTTGGTCTGTTTTATCGGTTCGGCTATCCACTCCAATTAAAGAAAAAGGGTTTGTATCAGGTTGGTGGAGAAATTGTGTGGGTGGGTTAGGGATCGATCTACATACATTCGTCGTACACTTGTATCTGAGTTACACTACACAATATTGTTTTCGTTATACACGATCTGGATGTTTTAGTGTTTATGTTGGTTGTTTTTCTGAAGGTAATCAAGTCAATGTTTGATTTAGAAGAATGGTCTTGTAATGTTGGCATAAACTTAATCTAATCATGAAACTTTGCTGTACGTTCCAGCTACAAGGCATTTATTGGCACAACACAAACTGAAGATGTAGTTACCCTAAGAACTATAATCTCCTCCTCAGCCACGAGCTCCCGCTGCCGCTGCCATCGGTACTACTACAGGGTTCTATCACCTATCTTCGGGTAGTATCTCAAAAAAGTCTCATACAACCATGTCTTAGTTATGCTGTCCTTTTCAACTCTGCTTACTTCGTTGCATTCTTGATTGTGCTGGCGAATAGGGCTCTATCGCGACTTGTAGTTGCCTGAGCATTGTGACTACTACTATCCTTGATGGCTTGGCTACTGCTCCTGCCTGTGCTCTTTGGAAAGACCCATTATGGCGTCTTGCAAGAACCGATACCCAGGGGCAACCTGTTCTTCCCACTCCCGCGTCCCCGGCTGCGTATACAAGTCATGCAAATGAGACACCGACTCTAGTCCAAGCAGATCACCTACTACTCCCTGCGCCTTCAATTCAGCGATAAATCGCTCTGCCGAATCAAACGGAACGACCTGATCCTGTCGGCTGTGGATGACAAACGTCGGTGCCCGGTAGTTGCCCTCCCGGACTTGTGCCAGTGGGCTGATCGCTGCAAGGCGGGAAGCGGACGGCATCGCAAGGTAATCAGCGCTGCCGGTCTGGGCGTTGAGTAACAATGGGAGGGCAGTGCCATTCTTCGATACTGAGAGCACAAGATCAGACCTGGGGTCGCCGGGTTGAAGGCCGAAGAACCCATTGCCCTCCGAATGGTTTGCAATTCGATAGTTGGTTATCTGATTCGGCTGTTAGTAAGGTGGCTTCATGTCTTCCGGAAGGGCAGAAAAGGCATACCGGAGTTTTTCCCAACTTCTGCAGGATCGACTCTCGGTCTTGCAGCGGCTGCGGGGCTGATTTTCTGGCATGCGAGTCAAGTTCTGCGTATCCATATAAGTTCCGATAGGCAATGGTAGGCAAAAAGGAAGAACTAACCATTTGACTGAAAGCCAACAGGCGCATAGAAACTAAGAATAGCCGCTGGTGCTGGCATGTCTGGATCTCGAGTCGTCCATCCTAGCGACATAGCCAGATGGCCACCGGTAGACCATCCTACCGCGGCGACTCGGGAGCCATCCACCGTAATCCCATGCTGACGCATTATGGAGGGAAGCTGCGTTCGCGCCCAGTAGTAGGCGTCCCTGACATCGGCCATCGGCCCGTCAATGAGGTTTACTTCAGGGCAGAGTCGGTAGTCGATACTGACGGGCAGAAACCCTGCGGAGACGAGGTATTTCGTTTGTGCGGGACGGATGTCTTTCCGAGACAGCATCATGAAGCCTCCGCCGTGAATCATTAGAGCTAGACGTGAGAATACTTGTTAGTCGCGAGTGTATGGTAAGAAGGAGCTAGGATGAGGCTATACCGATGGCGAGAGGAGAGGATTGGCTCACGCGGGGGACATAAATATCCGCCTCAATCTCCACACCACTCACTTCCTTATACACCATCGTTTCAAGTCGATAAAACCCGCTGTCCGATGGAGCATGGCACTCTGGAAGTGGACCCGGACTCAATGATTCTGTCCTCGCGCTCTTGGTTCCAACAAGTAACTGCTGCAGAGATGCCTCGCTCCCCACTCCTCGAGTGAAGCTCGTGCGAGCAAACCCAGCTTCTTGAAGCACCTCCATTCACTTGGACGCTGGCTGAAGAGGATACTCGGTCCCATTTTCGGCCACCCACCATTCATCAAGCAAGCCAAAAGTCATGTCAAACCAGGCCAGCGGTTGAGTTCCTTCTAACAAAACTACAACCCCGTCATCAGTCAGGCAGTCCCTTATCCTACGACAAGTTCCAACCCTGCTGGAGGTTGCGTGCACACAGTTCGTTCCGATGACTATGTCGTAGCGGCTGCGGTGTTCAGCTCTCGTCTCCTCTTCTAGATCAATTGTGTCGTAGTCGATCCAGGAGAAATCAACGAATTTATCTTTCGCTTTGGAAACAAGCGGTGCAGATACATCGGTAAAGGTGTATTGGCACGGGATGCTTGCCGCCTCGATAGCCTGCGCCAGTCGCAGAGTTGTGCCCCCGGTGCCTGCACCAACTTCCAGAATGCGAGGGACCCGCTTATCGCTCTTACGATGTACATCATGTCCGTGAAGCAAAGTCATGACTAGAGTCACGAGCTGATCTGTAGATGTGGATACCATTGGTGAGTTGGAATAATAGTCTTCCATAATTTTGGATGAGGCTGAACTTCCAAACATCAGTGATTGAGGATCTTGTTCACCCTTGAGAACTGGTGCCAGGTTTTCTCCGGTCAGTTTCATCAACTTTGCTTCCGGCAAATAGGCTGGAAAGCTGGAGACTAAGTTCTCATAAACCTCTGCAGCAGAACCAAATTTTGGGGTTTCACGACCTCGAACGATTATGCTCGCCTGTATGAAAACGACCCCATGGGTCTGAAGAATCTCCCAAAGTCGAGCAACGAGTTTGCTGTGCCTAGGTATATGCTTGATCGGGGCAATAACCGTTCCTGAGGGCAAAGACAGGACAGGAACCCCCAAAGCCTCGAAGGCTTCCAGTATATAGGCCTGCACCAAAAGATTTTGCAAAGGTAAAACATTCGTTTCGTAGGCGACATACCCATTCCTATGTGCCGCATCTTGAAATCGGCTGTCGACTTCAAGCAGCGCTTGTACTGGGTCCGATGTGGTCGCGGTCTTGTCACCTTCATGTTCAACCACCCCGTTGAGCTTGGTTTGTAAGAGAGCTGGTGGAATACCAGAATCAATAGGCGATACCGGCTCATTGTGATGTATAACTTCATCACTACCATTTGTGTCTCGAGAGTCCCCAGGAGACTTTTGCCTCACCATTTCAGTAAGGTTCTCCACAGACGTTTGCCCCAGGCCTACGGTACTGATGCTCGAGTCAAATGCTGCGTTGAACTCATCCTAAAACTCCATCAATGATAGAGAATCGATACCAAGGTCTATGAGAACAGCATCCGCAGTGATGTCGTCCGGGTCCAAACCAGTATAATTCGAGATGAGCTCCTTAATCACAATTTCGGGGTTCCTGTACTTGACTCCTGGCGGAGTTGTCACGGCTGTTGTAGCCGTCATAGGACTCGATTCCGTGTCACTAATGATTGGCATTTCACCGGTAGACATGGCAGCAGCATCAGGGACTTTTTGAGCCGGCAAGCGATCAGGGCGCGATGCTGGCTGCTGTGGCCGAGAAACGCCGGCGTTATTAGCTGCTCCAAGGAATTTGCCCAACTTCACCTTGTCCAGCTGATTAAATCGAACTCCTGACATCATCGCTACCATCTGTCTTTCGGGGGAGCGTACGAAGACATCCCCAATGAACTGATTGTTACCAGCCGGCATGATATTAGTGTAGACGAACCACTCCCCCTCGAAGTTTGCTAGACAGACAGTTGTCAGAATCACACGTTCAATACCCACCGCGATCAGGACTTGGTCATCAGCAGCGGTTTCGCTACTATTTAACAGCAACCCTGTCACCGAAATGAGGGAATCAAGGAGCACCGCATCACATCGCGTCCAAGTAGGGCTCTCTATCCGGCCGGGCTGGCCTTCAGGAAGTTTGACGGTGGCTACCGCTTCGTCTCCATCCACTACCACAGACTGGATACCTTGGAGGAAGGGAGCGTAGTGCATCACTTTAGAAAACAATCCATACGCTCTCTTCGCCATGAACCGCTCAGCTGTCTGGCAGTCTTGGAGTCGAGTGAACGCGCCATCCACGAGTCGCCCATATGTAGTCAAGTTGGCCTGTGACGATACGGCAGCCACGCCCACACAATGAACCAAGGGTTGTCTAGACTCTGGAATAGTGGAACATACAGTGAACTTCCAGGATTGCTTGGAAGCAAGTTCCTGGAGCTGCAGCTCTACTTCACGCGATTGGTCTAACCCGAGAGGCACCTGGAACTGCAAATCATCGAACGTTAGGTGCTGCGTAGTCACATCCCCGAGTAGAAGCTGAATGGCATTGGTAACACCCTCTAAGTACAAGGGTGCCGGACAAAGTGGTTGCTTTAAGAAAGCATGTCCCTTGACCACCTCCTGAAATCTTTCACATGTCGTATTGATATGAAAGTTCACACTGTGGGAGTCACAGGGGCCTGCTTCTTTTCGAGTGATTAGTCTCATGGGAGGTGCAGCCACAGGAGCTACGGAGTCTAAGACAGCCGAAGCTGCCAAGAGCTTTTCGTGCAATTCCATAGCTCGGTCGATATTCTCAGTCCAGTACTGGTTCCTCTCGAAATGATAAGGAGGCAACCATGTTTCTTTGAGTCCCGCAGGAAAATCTCGGATAAAGGGCCAATGGGACACAGAAAGCCCTGAATGCCATAGGTCAGAAACAAGTGTGGCAATGCCGGTCTCCGGCCCTTCACCTGGCCGGATACTGACTGGATGGAATTTGTGTACATTGGCATCTCGCATAGCTCTCTTGGCCATCGGTATGATTGGACTATTTATGCCAATCTCAAGCCAATTGCAAGGTCCGAGCTGCTGTTCAAGGCGTTGTATTGCATTAACAAAGTACACTGGATCTCTCGCATGTCGGGCAGGATTCCAGTCCTGGATCGATTTCTGTTCCTCCAGAGTACAGGCCTCCAATCGAATGCTGGGTTTGCTCCACGTCATGCTGCGACAAAGATCATTCAAATCCGGCATGATCGGCTCAACAAGATGCGAATGAAATGCATGAGTTGTTGATAGACGTCGGTATTTAACCCCAGAAAATTCTTTGTGAGTAGATAGAACACGCTCAGCCAAGTCCACGGTTGCTGAAGCTCCTGCTATAACTACCGAAGTAGGCGAGTTATAGCAAGCGACCTCTAATCTAGCAGTCTTTTCAAGACCAGACAGGTAAGTAATGAGCTTCTGGACATCAGTCGGGCTACTATGTATGACAAGCATTGCTCCCCGCTCAGTTCCCCATTTTGCATCAATGAGTCGGGCTCGATATGCAATCAACTTCAGACAGTCAGGGAGGGAGAGAGCTTCAGACACCGCCAGGGCGACTATCTCGCCAAGACTGTGGCCAATAATGGCATCAGGCTTGAGCCCGCCATCGATCCAGCAACGAGCGCAAGCGTATTGCACCGCAAAGATACTGCATTGCAAGCTCAGTGCACTGCCAATGGGTGTTTTCTGGAAAATTGCTGTGGCAATACTCGGAAACCCTTGCTGAATTAATGATTCATCACAGGCGTCAATATAGCTCTTGAAGGCGGGGTAGGCTTCGTAGAAGTTTCGATCTAATGCCACCTTGTTATCATATTGCCCGCTCAAGACCATAACCACCGCATTATGCTGTCGTGTGTATTCAAAATTTGGCGCTTCGACTTGGTTTAGAGTGCGAACCAATCCAGACACATCGGTCGCGGTAGCACTGAAGCAGAAACGGTGGCGTTTCCTGCGCTCATTCAACGTGAATGCAACCCCGGCCACGTCCACCTTGGATGCGTGTTTTGACAGATGTGTCGCCAGGTCCCGAGCATGCTCGGTGAGGCTTGTTCTCGAGGCTGCACTCAAGATGATCGGGAATGCGATCTTCTGGTTCCTTGCTGGTGACGATAGTACATGGCTGCGTCTTAATGCGTCATCCCGGGGTATTGGCTCACAGCACAACAGCGCGCAGTTCGATCCTCCAGCACCGTAACTATTCACCAGAGCAGCGCGTTGAGGAACATTCCAATCCCGGAGCTTTCGGGCGATCTCCATTCCATCCGGCTCCAGTGCTGGAATTGCCGGGTTCAGGCGACTGTGATTTGCCTGAGGGGGGATGCCGCCGAATTTCATCATGGCCAACACCTTCAGAAGCCCAGCAGCACCAGCAGCAGGCTCGCAGTGCCCAATGTTGCCCTTGATAGAGCCGATAGACAACGGTGTTGCTCGTGACGAGTCTCCCAGTACTGCCCGAATGCTTTCCATTTCGATGGGATCTCCTGCCTGAGTTCCCGTTCCATGAGCTTCCACGTAGGAGACTTGAGAGGGCTTGAGACCCGACTTCTCAAAAAGGCTTCTATATAGGGCCTTCAGTGCTGTTGGTGATGGTACCGTGAGAGTGGTCGAAGTTCCTCCTTGGTTGGTAGCAATGCTAGGGATAACGCCAAAGATGTGGTCCCCAGCACTGACTGCATCAGACAACTTCTTCAAAACGACTAAACCGGCGCCCTCAGAACGACAGTATCCATCGGCTGCGGCATCAAAAGGCTTACATTGGCCTGTTTGACTAAGGAATCCCGCTTTCCCCAAGTCAAAGAAATTGCCTGCCGTGGTGAGTGCGCTTACTCCACCGGCTATTGCCATGGTACATTCTCCTGCCTGAATAGCGCGACACGCTCGATGAATGGCTACCAAGGATGAGGAGCATGCAGTATCAAGGACCTCGGCGGGGCCAGACCAGCCATAGTAATAGCTGAGTCGGCCACACATGAAGGCGCGGATGGTACCCGTAGCTGTATATGCTGACGGGGCATGACAGGCGGTATTTTCCAGATATTCGTTCAAACTGCCTCCGATGAAGCAGGCAACTGAGTCTTCCGCGCTCCGCTGATGAGAGGTCAAGTACCCACTCGATTCTAAAGCCTCATAAGACAGTTCCAAAAGCATTTTCTGCTGGGGGTCCAGGCTGGCGGCTTCTCTGGCGTTTATGCCAAAGAAAGAATTGTCAAAACGTTTGATGTCATCGACGAAATTTCCAAAGAACTTTCTTTTCGCCATATGTTCATCCTGTAAAGTCCTGTAACTCCGGCCGACGTGGATTCTCTCGACTGGCACTTCTTGGTGAGTATCACGGGCTCCAGCAATCAAGTCCCAGAGCTCTTCAAGATTGTTTGCACCCGGGAACCGACACGAAAGTCCCACAACCGCAATAGTACTGTCAGGGAACTCTGGTATACTGGAGGGGGATGTTGTCGGGGAATTTGGTTGAGGGTCAGAGACAAGCAGCTGGTTTGCTTTGAACTTGAAGCTTTTGAGACGTTGCTTATTGAACGGCGACAAGGGCACACTGTCATTCAGCCCGAAAATGACCAGTCGGTGAGCTGGACGTTCTGAGGCTTTGAGATCGAGGGCAACTTGGGTGACCAACTCAAGCCAGTCGCAGCAGGATGCCAGCATCATGGTTATCATATCCTCCATAATTTCGGCATCAGTCAATGCCTTACCGGTTATGTTCGATCGCACGGTGACTTGTAGCCGACTTTCCTTGGGCAGCTGGAACATAGATGGATTTCGGTTGATAATGTCCATGAACTCTGGCACTACGTGCTCATTCTCTGGATTATGAGCCTTTCCAGTGACATCCATCTTATCTGCTGGCAGACCGTTTTCACGACAATATTCATACATGGCCGCTATTGACTTCGCATTTCCTACAAAACTAAGCGAACGTGGCTCTGTAATGGCCGAAACATATGTCTGGCCCAATGGTATTAGTCAGTATATGATGGCTAACGAGCTTTTTGTTTTGATTTTGCAGGATTTTGGAGCTTACACGCGGAAACAATTTCGTCGACTCCTCCTCTTGGCCTTCATACTTGAGGCGAACGGCCAAGATGTTGGATTCGCTCGTGGTCCAATCATCCAAGGCCTCGATGTACGCTCCCATTCTCATCATAACTCGCAGGAGTACTGCAGCATTGTCCATGATCTGCCCTTCATCCTTCGCGCAAGCTATGGAAAGAGCAGGCGGCTCTCCTCCACAACAGCCATGAATACCTCCTGCTTTCTGTACTTGGGCAATGAAATCGGCGTGAGAGATACCATGGAAGTCCAGGTAGCGAAAGTACTCCCCCAGCTGAAGAATAAGGAGCAAGGGTAGGGCGATTATTCCCGTACGCGCCTCGGAGATCGGGGCAGAGGGGCCGCCGTTGGCCCAGTCTACCAGCAGGCGTACGTAGTTTTCAGCATTGGGCAAATTCCGCACATCCTCTCGGTGGACAGCGAATAGATGTAACAAGTCAGTCAGGGAGGACACATGATGAAGCAAGATTCTCCCGTGGGGGTGTTGGCTCAGAAATATGTATAGGGCGCTGAGATCGTCAGGGTTTGGTGCTCGACTCTGGGGGTTGAAGAAGGCAGCCAAGGCCTGAATCGGGTCTGTCGCAGCGGTCATAGTGACTTGGTGGTAATTCATGACATGGTTGCAAATCGTGTCACCAAGAATGTTTCTATATGAAGACACTTGCTTATTCCATGTTAACTGGGGTGCAATGGTTGGTAGCCGGGGGCCCCCCGGATGGTTTTTGGTTCGAAGGAAGGGGGTTGCTACCGCCGGTGCATTATCTTCTTGCTATTTGACCGACCGGCACCGGGAACATTGGAGGAATCCGGAGGAGAGAGAAAAGGGACGAGTGAGAATAACTGCATCTATTGAAACAGATCCAACTTCCTTTACTCTTGAACATGGATCTCGTCCTCACCTCTCCAGGCTGGGCCCCGCTGGTTGTGGGGGTGGCCGCAGCGATGATGGGAATAGTGGCATACCGGCTGTGGCTGGACCCTCTGGCACGATTCCCGGGTCCTCGACTGTGGGCGATATCCCGCCTGCCACGGATCTACCACACGTCCAGGGGACGCATGTGGCGCCAGCTTGAGTCGCTACATCAACAATATGGCCCTATTGTCCGCATCGCCCCGGGCGAGCTGTCTTTCTGCTCCGCGCCGGCATGGTCGGATATATACACTTCGCGACCGACAATGCCCAAGGATGGCGCCACTTTGACACCGCCGATCAACGGAGCCCACTCACTCTTCACTGCGCTTGGTGATGACCATCGACGTCTACGCGGCGCTCTCGTTGCCGGCTTCTCAGACAAGGCACTGAGAGACCTGGCACCGGGCATCGAACACCACGTTACCGAGTTTATCGCTCGACTCCGCCGTGAGCTCGAGCAAGGTAATCCAGTAATCGACTTGCAAAAGTTCTTCGGATATGCGACCCTCGATACCATCACCGACCTCGGTTACAGCGAGCCCATGCACGCCTTGGCAGATCGCAACGAGCATGACTGGATTGCGCGCCTCTCCCTTCACTCACGCTTCGGCACCATGCTCTCGTGTCTTTACTGGCTCTACCCGCTAAATCGACTCACGAATATTGTCGTACTATCCCTAAGCCAAAGTCAGCGTGCAAAGAACTGGGCTGTGTTTGGTAGCAAGATCGAAGCCCGAGTGGCTCGAGGCAATCAGCCAGGACAGAAAGCAGATCTCATAGCCCCAATCATGAGCAAAGTGACCGATCAGGAAGTTCCTTCAAAAGATAGCAAGTCCGGAAATAAGAACATGATAACAAGGAAGGAGGTCATGTCCCACACTCTGTCAACAGTAATGGCGAATGGCCTCATAACAACAGTAACTTTAACTAGCTGCACGTATTTCCTTCTCCGACACGCGGACGCATTGCAGCATGCTGTGAAGGAAGTGCGTGATACATTCACTTGTGATGGCCAGATCACCGTGCAGTCTACTCAAGGCATGGCCTATCTGGAGGCGGTCATCAATGAGACGATGCGTCTCCACCATCCAACACCCATTACTCTTGCTCGCGTCGTACCCCCTGAAGGTCGTCGCATCGATGGCCACTTCATTCGGGGAAATGCCACTGTCGGAATCAATCTGCATGCCATTTTCACCAGCCCAGATAACTAGGTCGAGCCATTTGCCTTCCATCCGGAACGCTTCCTCCCTCGCGACGATGTCCGGTATAACTCTCGTTTTGATAAGGATGTCAAAGAGGTCTACCTGCCCTTTGCGGCGGGTCCACGTCATTGTATCGGTGAAAAGTGAGTAACCCTCTTTGTGCTGCTAATTGCATTAACTGAAGTTGTATTGCTCTAGATTCTTCCTTGCCGAGGCTCGTGTGACACTTGCTAGATTGTTGTGGAATTTTGATATGGTGCTAGCAGACCCACAAGCGGAGAATTGGTTGGATCAGAGGGCCTTCACAGTGTTCGAGCAAAAGCCGCTCCTGGTAAGTCTCGTTGATCGGTTAGGATGAGCAGATCGATGGATAAATTCTTCGAAATTTTGGCGTTGGAGGGCGGGGGGTACGGTTGAAGCCGTTATCCTCAGTTAGCAGGGCGAATGAAAACTGGATCAATCTTCGGGATATCATACTAAAACCTCACTGTTTTCCTATTCTAAACAACAGCATGTATGTACTGCCCACAGAAGGCAGAGGATAACCGTCTTGGTGATGAAAAGGAGATGGGTTGAGGTCTGTTTCGATCCAGAAACATGAGGAAGGATGGATGGAGAGAAGACCAGGAAGGTGAAGAGGTCAGGTGGTTTTGCTGTCTACTGTGAATTCTCCACTAACTATACATAGCTATAGTAACAGCCTATGCTGCAGAATGTTATCCAGTGCAGACATTTACTACAAGGTACTAGAGATTCTTGTGATATCCTATGTAATACCTCTCCTAGACCCGGACTTCCCAATCATCCACATGATTCAAGCTACACCATGCGCTACTAGTTATATTCACTCAATAACTAATAATATTTAGCCTTGATGGAAGCAAGATATATGACCCATTACATGGGCCTTGGTCATTCTCCATCTCTGTTCTGATATTAGTCCTTTTGCTTAGCCACGACCACCACCCGCGGAAATGAAAGGGCGACCCCATTCACTGACTCCTGATAGCCAGCCTGGATGAGCTGAGTGAATCTCATCGCAGCCTTGTGCTGGGTCTGGCCTGCCAGTCTGGTTGCAAATTCCTCCATGGTCAACAAATGCAGATCGTTGAAAGCCCGAACCATCTCCGGGGGTTCATCGTAGTGATCGATGGTCACCTTCTGGAAACCAACTTCAGCCAACAGCCGCGGCAGTTCCAAAGCCCAATCATGGCGACCATCGGCATGCGAGACCACTCGAATCTCCTCCAAGGCCGGTGCAGCAATGGACGGATCCACCTTTTTGATGCACAGATTGGCGCAATCCAGCTCATCCCACTGCAGATACCCTCCGGGCTTGACTAGCTGGAAGAACCGTTGGATAACCGGTATTGGATCCAGCCCGGATAAAATCAGCACTAACAGCCGGACGTGCACGAGATCATACTGCTCCTGTAACTGCTGGGGTACCGGAGTGAACAAGTCCCAGCGGTCCAGATGGATGTTGGACGGCAGCCACCCTGAATGTGGTACCTAGGTGAGATCGATATCCAGCCCGTCCAGCTGGATATTGTGGTAATGGGGAAACTTTTGGGCCACATCGATCAGCCAGAGGGCCGTGCCACAGGCTACATCGGTCACATTCTTGAAGCGACGTTGGCGTGGTGGGGATAGAAGGATGGATGCTGTAGCCGAAGACTTGGCGCCATAAGAAATGCTGCAGGTTAAGGCGGATGACCGACCGGTGATTCTGTTGAAGAGCAGAGCCTAGCCCGTCTGCCAGATGAAAGCTGGCTGGGGAGGAAGAGGAGGGCGTGTAGGCGGAGTCGGAGCTAGGCATCGTGCGCGGGAAACAATGGATAGAATGAAGTTCTGACTGTGGTTGAACAGCAGTACTAGGTTCTGTATATATAATTATGACTTCAGCCTCACCTTTTTACCTGACATTGGTTATCTAATAAGCATACAACGTTACATCGTGCCTGGATGCCACACAATTAAAAGCATAGTATAGCTTAGTATACCATTAGCCCGTGTCTAGCCTGTTCCCGCTTGCTCCGTATGTTCATTAAACAAGACCTTTGGCATAGGATGGATCCAGATGTATCACTCTAAATGCACATAGCTACAATGGCTTAGATACTTGACTGGACATATTAGCATACAGCGTGAATCCAAAGGCTGCTTTAGGGAGTGGTAACTGTACAGGCCAATGTAGGTCCTATCTACTATTTCCCTTCCGTTCACGAATGCCTGTCTTAACATGAAGTAGTACGTACCATCACAGATTGTTTGTATTGCATCTTCAGGTTTATCATGATTTTTCTCCCTAGTAGACAAGCTCGCCGAGATACTGCAGGGGGCATATCAATTTAGCACCTAATCGCCATGCCGGTGGAATATCTGGTAATGTTCATATAGCACTAAAACCCACCGGGTTTGCCTACCGGAGAAATGATGTCTGTCTGTGATACTCGCCGGGCAAATTCCCCGGATAATAATCGCGTCCGACTTGGCACAGGTAAGGAAGAAGATCCTGGATTACGGGATGACCTAGGGTATCTTGTCTTTCCATTGTAGCTGGAGAAGAAAGTTACTCCGTCGACTTTGACGGAGAGGAAATTAAACGATAAAATGAAAATAGAATCAAATCAGAGAGAAAAGAAAAGAATAGGTCTCTGTTTCTGTGGGTACAACTATATAGCTTATCACCCGGCATAGTAAACCATCTTTTTTCTCTGAAATGAATGCATGAGGCGTTGGAGCCCGGAGGAGTCCTTCAGAACATACGAGCCCCGGGTGCACCTCGCTGCTAGCGTTGCGTTTATATAGGTAAACATGTCTTCCAACAGTAACGGGTAAGGTATCCCCTATAGCTCAGATAAATTTGCCCAGATACAAGCGTGCTCAATTGGAACTGGGCTATTTCTACATCAGCCAGAACTGAATGAGATATATAACAAATACTGACTGGTTGTCCCCTGCTGTCGCAGCCTGTACACCTCCATTGACTTCGTAGGTTTGAAAGGCCAGCAGTCCGAGAGTTTTTTTACGTTGAGATAGTAGACAATCGAAGCCACAATAGGGGGCTTTACGTTGCTAGACTAGTAGCTCTGTCCTACTGTCATTCGCGTGAGCACGGTGGTCAGGAGCAGGCGTTGTTCGGCTTGTTAAGTCTGTCTCAGAGACATATCCGCCGTGGCGACCGGTGAATTTCCTTCATGCCGAAGAAACTGGCTTGTGGTATAAGCATGGCACAATTAACATTTGTCGATCTGGATTGGTGGCTGCACTGCCCTCATCAAGTAAACAAGGAAGAGTGGTCAGTGGAATGAGCTAGCGAGGGGAAGGCCGCCACCGCGCTAGTATTCAAGGATAGGCTATACCCCACATATCATGTACCTCAAATAACATCCATAACTCAATATGTACGTGTATAATTGTGCTCTATCTTCGGGCACCATCTATACTTCAATTGCTCCCTTTGTTCGCTCTGACAATTCTGCCAGCACGCCGCGAATGCCCTTGACGGTCTTTTCCGCTTGGCGCATTATGGTTCGTACGAGGAAGGCCATTTCACCGGTACTCTGGTGCAAGATCCCCTCCTCCTGAACCATCCGCTCACTCACACAAAGGTCGGCTGGGAGGCCAAGAAGAGTCTCTGTCTCTCCAAGATGATGAACACAGATCTGCAGGACGAACTTGAGCTGGAAGCGGTGATAAGATGACAGCGAAACGCCGCCAATGTGCAGCATAGGAAAGGGAACGAAAATATCGGAAGGTAGGGATTCATGTGATGGGCAGTCGCTAAGCTTCATCAGGACGGAGTTCATGTCTTGGTAAAGGGCGTAATAAAGCTGCGTTAAACGAATGTATGCTGAGAGGACCTGCAAGATCATGGCCGTGTCTGACAAGAGGGGGTCCAGACCATCGAGCGCCTCTAGCATCGACCGGGCTTCACTCAGAATGCGATGGAATTCAACGGAGCTCTCAATCACATTGGCTGCTAGCCGTTCCAGCCGTGGCATGGGGTTATTTGCCGTGTCCGAGTCTATTGAGGAGAGTGATTTCATGTGGCTCGCAAGCTTTACGCTGAGTGCGCAGAGCTGCTGGATGACATTTCCTGCAATAGGAGGAACAATGAACTCGTATTCTATGGGTTTGGTGCCTGTGCCTGGCTGGCTGCATTCCGTAACCAACAAAGGGCTGTCACTAACAACTGCTTGATCCATCATGAAATCTACTTGTTGGTGATTGCTATCCGTTGACAGCGGATGGGAGGCGCCTTCATCATACGGCCTGGACGTATCCCCATCATCCCAAATCCCAAGCCCGGGTATTGTGGGCATTGAATTACTGAACAGCGGTACCAGGGTCTCTGAATCGTCTGTAACCGCATCGAGAAGCATGGCCTCGAAGCTTGGCTGGGCGTCATTTGTGCCTTCCAAGATGCTATCATTCTCCTGAGGGCCTCTAGATCCCTCAAGGGACGCTGAATATGGCCGCTGTTGTTTCTGTTGTTGCTGCCGTCGTCTTCTCTGTTGTTGCGGATTTCGTTGTTCGCCCCGGTTACTGCTTGCGGGTCTCCAGCCGCCCGACGTATCCTTCATGCTCTGCTGTCGTGTTGGTGGTCTTCCTGCCTTTCGAGCCATACTGTATACACACAGCGCGCCAGCTGCCAGGCACCGGTGACACGATGATTTGGTGGGCTCCCGAATGCACCGCATTTTCTGGCCATGGCACCGGTCGCATGCAGCCCGTTTCACAGCACTCATGCTGGGAAAAGTGGAATGAATCGCAAACTATGTCGGGCGGTCGGGCGATTTGAACATTTAAGTTCGGTTCACGTCTTTTCAGAAAGGAGGAAAAATATGTTAAGCGTCGTGTGAGATATATAGTCCACAGTTGGATTGTGTATGGGTCGTGGTGGAGAAGGTGATGGTGGGGGCGGGCAGATCTCTATAGTTTGAAAATGAAACAGGTTAGCAAGATTTGGAATATTGTTTTGAGGCCAAAGAGCAAGAATCGGTCTATAGAGATGGCAAGATAGACAGGAATTGTATTATGCTGTAGCTTCGTGGTTGTCCAGTCGCATAGCAAACTCCCCTGGGAAAGACATGGCCGAATGGAAGTATAACAGAAGAAGAGACCACATAGTACAACGTGCATTTGCTTATGGGTGTATGTAAACCTGGCTAAGATATGGACACACTAACCTATTACACGAGCTGGCAATAACAAGAGAAAAGATTTGACGGATCCATACGAGTAATTGACTACCAAAGCTTCGAAAGTGGCTGAGGTCAAAGCTACCTACAGCAAACCCGTCAGCCTAATAAGAACATGGAAGATTGGGGAATGGAGGGGGTGCGAAGCAGTCACCATCAGAATCCGCACGAATTGTCTCGAGTCTCCGGCTGATTGTAAGCGCCAAACTACTGGATATCTCCCTACCCTTGTTAGAGACGTAGCTTAATACTATGTTATGCACGTTGGGCTGCAGGCAGCTCAACTCCAACTGGTCAGGCTAAGCTGTCTCTCTTCCCTTGCTGCTCAGCTGAGCCACGGAATGAAGGACGGTATGTCGTATACAGATAAATCAAAGAGTGGTCAACCATTCCAGAAAGAATCCTTTCATGTCTCGATATGTAACCTTATCGTCACTCAATGCTATAGCTACCTTTGTTATCTTAGTCTTGGTGAGAGGGGGAAAGGAAGGCAAGAAGGAAGAAAGAAGAAGGACGATGGAAGTGACGAGTCATGTCTTCGCGGCCTTCCATAATTGGGGTACTAATTGAGGTAAGGCAAGGCGTCGTTTGTCAGAGTAGTGACACAGCAGATTGTCTGCTCGGTAATCGCGAAAGTAAACCATCACATCCCAAGGAAATTTGTGCCGTGTGCGCTGCAGTTGCTCACTGGCAATTGAACAAAGCATTATGCAAGTGCTGATGCTGGCCCACATCACCTGACTTCTGCGGATTTACAAGCCCTTTCTTTGTCTTCTTCCTGGACTTCCCCAACTGTCAGTACATCTACAACCAACTTGATGTGTTTTGATCCCTAATCAGAAACTCAGAATCAGACCATGGCATCTCAGACGAAGATTTCATTTGAGTGCTGCCCAAAATACAGGTTTGTGTGGAATGAGAATCCCCGAGATTGGCTGGCTGCTCCCTTGCAGCCAGCAGTTAGATTGCTTGGGCATGGCGCCTCAGGCTCTCATAGCCCGCATGTTGTCAATGTTAGCATTGGAACGGAATGGAGACAGCACACACAGCCTAGAGATAGTAGCTGTGAGGGGTATGTGTCATTCTCTTAGTGTGAAGTTTACCACTATGTAAGCTGTACCTCGGGGAGTATCAGCGATACCCTCGAGCATCGATCCGATCATCTGAGAACCCGACTAATCCACTCCTTACTAGATTTCCAGGCATACAAAACGTATCCCTCACCGATCTTCCTCTTGTCTGTCTGGCCTTTTATGCCTTACCAGCTCTGTCGGTCAAGGCTTGTTACTCTCGAGGAGCAAGGCGCTACGGCATCAGGACATTCACTGACTAATGAACGCAGTGTTGTCAACACCATATAGATATAGAAATAGGGAGGCAAATTATGCGCTCAAAGCGAAGGTGCTTAGGATGTGATTGCCGGCATCTCCTATAATGTTTCCAGTTTCGGGGGTTTTACTGTAGCCGCCTCAAACTCGCCGGCCGAGCATCGATTGCCGGTCAGGAAACGTGGGCAATCACACCCGGCCTACTCCCTAATCATTCCTGCCAAATGGGCCATCCGATAATACTTGAGCTGAATTGATCGAATTCCTCTGTGATCTATTTTCATCGCGCTTGTTCCTCCTTGACAATACTCATCAGGCATTGAGGTGGAAATTCGAAGGGACACCCAATGCAGACCTCCAACTTCGAGCCGATCGCCGTCATCGGATTTGGCCTTAAGCTCCCTCAACAAGCATCGACGCCAGAAGGCTTTTGGGACCTTCTCATCCAAGGCCGTTCGGCGCGTACAGAAACCCCTGCTGATCGGTTCAATGCCGAGGCTTTCTATAAGGCAACGGCTACTGGTGACAGGCAAAGAGTGGGCACAGTATGTTAAAAGATGAATGTGTAGTATGAGAGTTGGGCAGGGAATAATGATAGGTACAGATAAAAACCAGACATGGGCATTACATTGCCGAATCCTTGGACCGTTTCGATGCTCCCTTTTTCTCCATATCTCCCCATGAAGCAGAATGCATGGATCCGCAGCAGCGATGGCTCCTCGAAGTGGCATATCATGCGCTGGAGAATGGTACGCACTCGTATGCTCCCCTGCTTAGGCAGGCTGCTGACAACAAGTAACAGCGGGTCTTAGCATCGATGAAGTAAATGGATCAAACACATCAGCATTCGTAGGCAGCTTCATGAACGATTTCGAAACGATGCTGCATAAGGATTTGGACATGCCGAGCACCTACCATGCCACAGGAAAGGCTAGTGCTATCCTGGCCAATAGGATCAGCTGGTTTTACAACCTCAAGGGCCCCAGTGTCGCAATCAACACAGCTTGTTCCAGTAGTCTGGTTGCCCTACATTTGGCGTGTGAGAGCCTCCGCACTGGAGAGACGAGCATGGTAGGTTTCATGATTGTTAATCAGATCCGAGCATCTGTCTTATCGGCTTTCTCCCTAGGGTCTTGTCTGCGGCAGCAATCTCCTTTTCACCCCAGAGAACACGGCCGGATTATCCAACCTCAACTTCCTCTCACCGGATGGTATATGCTACGCATTCGATGAACGAGCAAATGGTTACGCTCGTGGGGAAGGCATTGCATGTCTAGTAATCAAGCCCCTCTCTGCCGCTCAAAGTAACCAGGACCCCATCCGGGCCATTATTCGAGGAACCGGAGTGAACTCGGATGGTCGTACTCCCGGAATCTCACAACCAAGCCCCAGCGCTCAGATTGATTTAATCCGAGGTACTTATGCTCGCTTTGGTCTCCCGCTCGATCAAACTCGTTATTTTGAGGCGCACGGGACCGGCACTCAAGTGGGGGACCCCATTGAGGCAGAAGCCATTGCGACGGTGTTTCGTTCAGGACAACATGACGGGCGACCCCTGTATGTGGGTGCATTGAAATCTAACGTTGGCCACCTTGAGGGTGCGAGCGGACTAGCAGCGGTGATAAAGGCTATCTTGGTGATAGAGCGTGGTGTCATTCCCCCTAATATTTGGCATGAGAGACGGAACCCGGCGATCAAGGAAGAATGGGGGTTGCACTTTCCTACAACCTCAATCCCGTGGCCCGAAGATGAGGTTAGGCGTGCTTCGGTTAACTCTTTTGGATTTGGTGGGACCAATGCCCATGCAGTTATTGATGGTGCTCAGTCCGTTGTCCGGAATATAGGACCGGGGCATCTGCACATAAATGGCAATACTTTCCCATCCCAGGAAGCGACAAAGCTCCTGGTCTGGTCAGCAGCCGATGAGAAGACTGCCTCACGGGTTGCTCACGATTATAAGGATTTTCTTTCAGAACACACTGAAAGCAGATCGCCAGAATACCTGGAGAACCTTGCATTCACCTTATCGCGGCGTCGCTCTCAATTTCCCTGGAGATGTTTCTGTGTCAGCAATTCTAGTCAGGGGCTCGGCAACCTAAGCGTTTCCCCGGCCGTGCAGGTCAACTCAAAGCTTCAGGTATGCTTTGTTTTTACCGGACAGGGAGCTCATTGGATGGGCATGGGGAAGGAGCTCCTCGACTACGACGTTTTCAGGCGCAGTCTAGAGGAGTCAGACACACTCCTCCGCAATGTTGGGTGCCAATTTTCAGTTATTGGTGGGTAAAGCAATGCATCATTCTAGTCATTTGACAGAACAATTCTAATATTCACTATGACCAGAAACATTGTACAGTGATAAGGGCACCGAACTGGATCAACCAGAGTTCTGCCAGCCGATTTGCACACTACAGGTTGCCCTCGTCGAACTTCTAGCGGACTGGAAAGTCCATCCAATTGCTGTGGTTGGACATTCGTCCGGAGAGGTTGCCGCTGCATACTGTTCAGGGATTATCACTAAAAGCCACGCTCTTGAGCTAGCCTTCTTCCGAGGCTTAGCTGTCTCAGCAACATCGCGAATGGGTTCTCCAGATGGCAGCATGCTGGCGACACGGCTCTCATCGGATAAATGCTCAGAGCTGCTTGCAAACCTTGCAAATAGTCAGAACCCCGAAACATGCAACATTGGTATCGCGTGCTACAACAGCCCTCAGAATTTGACCTTATCCGGGGATACGGATTAAATCGAAAGACTGGCACTCACGTTGGAAACAGATGGGATTATGAGCAAGAAATTAAACGTTAGCATCGCGTACCACAATGCAAAGCATATGGAATCTGCAGCAAGCCTATACCAGGCTCTCATCAAGAACTCACACTCGAGCAAACCCGGAAGGAGGGCGAATCTAGCACCCAGTTGCTACATGTTTTCCAGTGTTCGCGATGATTTATTTGCGCCAGACTCTGACGCGTCTGAAGTTTCGAAGCCAGACTATTGGGTTGACAATCTTGTCTGCCCAGTACGATTTACGCAAGCCATGCAGAAGCTAGCATCGCTACTCGAATCTAAGGTTGGAATTGCTAATACCCATTTTATTGAAGTCGGACCACATTCTACACTCAAATCAGCAATCAAGGAGACCCTGGTCCTAGAAGCCAAGGACTGGAGCGTGGAAAGATCGTACAGTCATATGTTATCTCGCCAGCAATCAGCAGTATCCACCGCATTGACGGTAGCAGGAAGACTGTATAGTCTTGGCCTTCCAGTCGATTTGGATGCAGCGAATAATCAACACTCGAATAGCAAGCGGGTACTCATCGATCTTCCATCATATCCATTTGATCATTCCAAGAGATACTGGATGGAAAGTCGCATCAGCAAGGACTATCGGTTTAGGAAATACCCCCACCATGATTTTCTGGGCAATTCAGCATCAGATTGGAACCCCCTGGAACCACAATGGAATTACAGAATCATACTGCAAGAACAATCATGGATCAGAGACCACCAGGTGAGTTAAATTCATATGTATTGCATTAAGGTATTCATCCTTTTAACCAACCGGCACAGGTTTCTGGTGCCTGCGTCTATCCTGCAGCTGGAATGCTTGCTATGGCTATTGAAGCTACACGACAGGTTGTGCATGTCCCCCATCACCAGCCAAAGGGCTATCAGTTCAGAGATGTGGTATTTAGCAGGAGTGTTGTGGTCCCAGACTCAAGGCTGGGAGTTGAGGTTCAGTTCCGCCTGCGAAAGGTTGAGCAGCTGAGCATGGACCTTGCCCCTTGCTATGACTTCCGGCTTCACATGCACGACCACGGGGAATGGGCTCAATGTTGCCAAGGCTATATTACGGTTGAACACCATACTAGCCTTTACGACTTTGACCTCGATCGCAGTGTGGCGAACGAATATGTGAAGCGACTGAGTGCAAGCCTCTCACCGGCTGAACACCAGAAATTCTATGCACGCTTGCGTGACTCCGGGCTTAGCTATGGTCCAATTTTTCAAATGGATCGCGACATCGTGCACGGTGCTGAGAATGAAGGTGTCGGGACGATTGATTTGCAAAGGTGGACCGACATCATCGAAGAGAACGACCAATCGCCCTGCTTCATCCACCCTGCAGCACTCGATTGTATCATTCAGGTGGCCTTCCTTGGAATCACGCGTGGAGGGTAAGTTGAAATCCCCACCATCGTACCGACAGCGGTCAATCATCTGTGGATATCGGCAGATATAACACGGCAAATGGTTGCTGTGTCCGCAAAATCTGTTCGGAGCAGTGCGCGACGCTATGATGTGGACTACATCTCAGTTGGGGCTGAGAACGAGAGACCTCTTCTCATAGGCGATCTAACACTCACATCCATTGAAAAGACTGCTAACCCGGCTGTAAATGAGACTAAGGAAAGCACCGTCTCCATGTACCGTGTCGACTGGAAGCCCGATGTCAATCTTCTTGGCCCCCAAACTGGGTTGTTTGCCACCCAGCCATTGCAGCTATCCCAAAGTGAGTCCGAAAGGATCAGGCTCACTGAATATTCCTGCTTTCTTGCCATGTCTGAAGTTTTGTGCGCAGTCGATGGTGGCGTGTCAGTTCATTCCCAGAGCCCTAAACATCTACAGAAGTACTTGGCTTGGATGCGACATCAGGCCGGGCTTATAAGAGCGTCCGTTGATTGGAAAAATTGGATCTCTACACAACCAGCAGGTAGTGGGTTCCAGGAACAGCTGTGGCAGAGAGTATCGTCATTCGGACCCGAAGGCAGGCTTATTGTCAAGTTGTGTCGGCAAATACTGCCCATTATCCAGGGTGAGGTTGATGCGCTGCAGATTCTCTTTGCCGACGAAACGTTGGCAGACTACTATCGTCAGGAAAACTCTCCTCCTGACGTCGTGAAAGGAGTCCAGCAGTATGTTGACTGCATGGCGCATGCCAATCCTAACATGCGGGTTCTGGAAATTGGGGCAGGTACAGGTGGTATGACACAGTATATCCTGGATATTATTGGCGGCCATGATGGCAGTGCTGCGGAGCGTTTTGCACAGTATGTGTTCACAGACATCTCTCCCGCCTTCTTCAAGGACGCCAGAGAGAAATTTGGCAGAGGGCAAAGGATCATGATGAAGACCCTCGATATTGAGAAGATGCCTGTAGATCAAGGCTTTGAGAAAGAGGCCTTTGATCTCGTCATTGCCAGCAATGTAAGTTCGCATTCTGCACAACGGTGGATCCGGAGCTGACCAGCCTAGGTTTTACATGCCACCAAGGACTTAGCCTTGACTCTGGGGAACACCAGACAGCTTTTGAAGCCCGGAGGGAAGCTTATACTCGTTGAGGGTACTAGCCCTAACCTACTAAGGACCTCTTTCATCTTCGGCTGCTTGCCGGGATGGTGGCTATCAACCGAGTCGTATCGCGAGTGGGGACCACTGGTCCCTGTGGACCGGTGGAATAAGCTGCTCCAGGATAACCATTTCACCGGAGCGGAATTCCTTCTAGATGGCCCAGACAAGGAAAACTCACTGAGTAGTGCGGTAATCTCAACTGCGCGCCCTCTTGTTCGATCTAACAGCGACATGATGCCAACATCGTCAGACATTCTCATTCTGAGAAAAGAGAGCTCAGGTTTGCAGCAGTCCTTAGCCACCTCAATATGCGACTTTATTAAAGAATTGGACCTGTCTGTCAGCATCCATGAGCCTTCTGAATTACACGAGGTTCCTAGTGGAGCTACCGTGGTCTTGTTGCAGACCATTGACGATTTCGTCTTCCACGAGCTTGACGAGAAAGGGTACCAGAATTTAAAGACTACTGTGGCAATGGCCAATAAGCTGCTTTGGGTGACACGGAGACACAATAGCCCAAAGCCAGATTTGTTGGAGCAAGACGCTGTGCTTGGCCTTGCACGCTCCCTTATGTCAGAGATCGAGGACCTCAATATTGTGACCCTAGGACTGGAAGATATCGAAACTACTTCCCGCGCAGCACAGCATATCCGGGCAGTATTGCAACACTATTTCTGTTCTGATACCTCCTTATTGAGCGTAAATGGCGAGGAGATCTTTGAGATTGATGGCCGCCTGTGTTTGAGTCGTGTCTTGCCGGCAGAAACAATAGCCAAGGAGATCTGGAGCATGCAGCAATCCAAGGCCCATATGGATAACGATGTGCGCAGTCTTGCGAACAATGAGATCGAAATCCAGATACGCGCAGCTACGATTACACCAAACATTACCACTGGCCAACCTTCTTTGGGCCAGGAGATAAATGGCACCATCACCCAGATCGGGTCAGACGTGCAAGGCACCTTTCAGGTCGGCGATCCCGTTGCTGCTATCGTACCGCATTCTGGCACGACATCAATCAAAGATCGGATTCAGTGCCCGGTTGATCTCGCTCATAAGACACCCGACGAATCATACAAAAGGGGAGAGATCGTTCTGCCACTTGATTTTCTGATAGCATACGACTCGCTGCACAATTGCGCGCGGCTACAGGCAGGGGATTCGATTATCATCCATGACGGGGCCAGTTCACTCAGTCAGGCCGCAATTCAACTCGCTCAGTTCCTGGGTGCAGAGGTTTTTGTGGCTTTCAATACTAAGGACGAGGAAGCTATAGCGGATATGTACTCCATTCCCGCTTCGCACAGATTTCCACAACAAGGACATATGCTGACTACAGGAATCAAACGCCTAACCCACGGTCGAGGCGCGGATGTCATGTTCACTCCATTGATTGCGAAGGAATCAGATCAAACAGTGTGGAACTGCTTGAAAGAATATGCCCGAGTTATTGAGGTGGTCGACAAGAATGCACGTACTTCCTCCGGAGCTATGCCTCCTCGGCCTCGACTGTTGAAACAAAGCTTCATGTTCGCCCGGCTGGATATTGCGACGCTTCTTCAGGACACACATAAGATTGCAACTATCTTGCCTGAGGTCATGCGTCTGATAGAGCATAATTCAGTGGTTCCTGTGCAGCCTGTCAGAATATTCACCCCCTCTGAGCTTGAAAATTCCAGTGGTGTGAAGGCTGTCGAGCAATCTCGGTCAGCCAAGACGCGTGTCTCCTTTGACTTGAACAGCCTCCCAGCCTCCAAGCCGCAACTATTCGACTCGAGATCGACATACCTCATTGCCGGGGGCTTGGGTGGTCTTGGGAGAAGCATATCCAAATGGATGATCTCCAATGGGGCCCGATATCTCGTTCTCCTTAGTCGGCAAGGTACAGAAAGCCCTGGAGCAGATACCTTCCTTAACAAATGCGCGACCATGAGCGTGACAACTTTCGCGCCCAAGTGCGATATAAGTGATGAAAGGGCAGTCGGTGCAGTTATTCAGGAAGTACAGCGGCGGATGCCTCCCATCAAAGGATGCATTCAGGCATCTATGGTTCTCAAGGTAATCAATCACATCATAAAAGCCCCACGCAAGAATCACAAACTAACATGTCTGTTATTGCAGTCTGCCATGTTCGCGAATATGACCCTCGATCAGTGGAACGAAGCACTACGCTCAAAGGTCCAGGGCTCGTATAATCTCGATCGTCACCTGCCAAACCAGCTTGACTTTTTCATCTTCCTATCGTCCGTGTGTGGTATAATCGGCGCCAGCGGCCAATCTAACTACGCCTTTGGCTGCGCCTACCAAGATGCACTGGCCCGATCTAAAGTCGCGATGAGACAGAAGGCTGTTTCAATTGACCTCGGGATTGTCGAAGGGGTTGGATACACGGCCGAGAATCAGGGCGTGGGCTCCTTCATGCGCTCACTGGGTTTACAGCCCATCCCTGAAGAATATCTCCTTTCCATATTAGAATATTACTGCGACTTCAGGCGTGAAATCCTTCATCCCAGCGACGCCCAAATAGTCGTTGGCATCATGAGCCAAGACGAGATGCAGCGAAGTGGACTTGTTCGCTCGCGATTTTACTCGCGGCCATTGTGGAATCAATTGCAGCGACGCATGAACCCAACGCTTGGCGGGAGCAAGGTTGTTGCTGCTCAACGGCCGAATAAGAAGGGCCCCTCATCGCTGAAACTCCCGATGGCTGCGAGCGATGATACGCTTTCGTCTACTGTGGCAGATGGCGGTCCAGATGCGGTTAGTCGGGCCATCTGCGAAAGGGTCTCGGATGTGCTTGCTATCAACGCTGATGAAATTGACCCAGCGAAGCCGTTGCATATGTATGGAGTGGACTCATTGGTTGCGATGGAATTGCGGAATTGGTTTAAAGAAGCACTGCAGAAGGATGTGGCTGTGTTTGATATCTTGAGTAATCGGCCGATAGGAGTGTTGGCTCAGGAGGTCGTGGGTGTGGCTGCGGCTGCATGAGGTGGGTTACAGCTATTCTATGGATGTCCTAGAAGGGGTGGAGATGTAGCTACTAGTCTGAAAATGGCGTTTTCTCCGGTTGCGGCACTTCGGTCTCATACATGGACTCCTTTGGCTTAGGGTAATCTGCGGTGGTGTACAAGGTACCCTGTGATATTAGTTCACCTATTGCGTCATGATGAACGCTGTCTTGCGTACGGCCGTCAAGGGAACTTTGAGAAACCTGTCTTTGGCATGTAGGAGTAGCTGATCAGCATCACTCAGTAGCATGGATCTTGAGTTCAGACTTTGAACATCAGTCATCCGATGTAGTCATGAATATGGAACGTACACACGGTCGCGGGCTCATTGGCGGAACCAGAAACCGGCTATCCTCTAGATTGAGGTATGGGCAAAGCACCAGGGCAGGATACTCGGGCCATTATCGTCAAGATGTTGTTTATACAAGGACGAACCAGTGACGTAGAATTCGATCATTCCTGTCTGTTCCATGCTTTCACGCCGATATCACCGATGGTCAAGCGACCAGCCACCTGGTTTAATCCGGGCATTGAAACTGTGATCCCAGTTGCAGGTTATTGTGTGGATATCAATGAATTAATTATAGGATCTGGAAGCCCTGGGACAGTCATTGGGTGTGGAGCTTCCTTTCTCGACTTTTCCAGTGTGTATGTCCACACGTGTTACGTTCCTGGGTGATCCCATGCTCTGTCCAAGGCATTGAGGGTGGGCAAGACAACTTGAATACAATTCGCGACACCGGGCTATCTCTATATCCCAGCTTCGTCGGATCAGGCGGAGCCTGCGAGTAGTCGTGTGGACATCCTGCGATATTTCCGTGGGGTCTCTTACCCAGTCCACACGCAGTTCCTCTGACACCTGCCAAGCACAGTCCCCATAATCCGTTGTATATGGCTTCATTCATTGTGTGCTTGCTTCTCGTGGCTATGGTGTCCGTGATGGCGTAGGTAGAGTGGCCTGCGGGTGTCTTCAAAACTGGGTTCAGGCGATCGAGTAGGGAGCGGGTCACGTATCCAGCTATTTTGCTCGTCGGGGAACCAAGGCAAGGTGGGCCTGGAACGCAGTGGCACTGTGTACATCAGCTGTGCCTTATGTCTCTGCTTGCCCTTGGAGGGTATGCGGCCCTGTTGCCAGTCCCTCGACGTGACTGCTGCTCGTAGGGTAGTGAGCCCACTTCCGGTTGGCTATGAGAAGAGTGCAGCCAGCTTATGGCTTGTTCCGGGCCATGACACCAAGAAGTAGCAACAGCTTTTGGGGTGCGTTAAGTTCGCATATGTGTGGATAGTGTGGAGGAGAGGGGGCTTTCTCAGGCCTCATATCTATCCTACCGTTGTCTTGCTACCACGCGTGGCGCTGGTTCCTGGGTTCAAGGCCTGAAGGGTCAAGGTTCAGTTGTCTGTACTTTGAGCACCCCGTATCCAGCAACCATCCCCTTGGGGATGCCAGCGAAACGGCGAGGTGCGTAGCAGTGTCTTTAGTGGCAGTTATCCCGCTGGTAAGCATTTGCAGCTACTGCATTCCGTTCTCTATGGCATGGGAGCTATGTCCGTTTGAGCTTTCGTATTGTCCGGGGGGGTAACCATATTCTGCATGGATTTTCTTGCTCCGTAGCATATCACACGGCGGCATGTCCATCGCGTAATGGTCATAGAATGGAATTCAACGCGAACAAGACGTGTCGTGACGCGCTGCTGTCCCCGTGACCGTGGTTCCTGTTCAGGTAAGCGGGTGTTGTTGGCCTGGGGCAGCCGCTGGATGGATGGTTGGATACCAGTGACATAAAAGTGGCCGATCACGAACGACAACGCGCGTTTTGTTTCTGATCTGCTATCTATACAACTTATTTATAGGTGTGATAATAATTTCCTGGTATTTTAATTCCAAAATAATGAGTGTTGGTTGCAATATCAACGAATTAAAATGGCCATCAACCGGAGTTTGTAGTATGAAGAGCTGCGGCTTTGAGTTGAACCCCCCTGTCGGTCGGGTCGGGGCGGGTTGGTCCCCGGGCTCGGGGTGTTTCGGTGTTTTTGGGGGGTTCAACCCGGAGCTGGGTTCAACTTCGGAGGGAGCTTGATATACTGTATGTAGGTACTAGATCAGAGGGTTTGATCAAGGCGCTGGACTTGATACTGTGATTTGTCTTGTTGTATACTAAGATCACCTTATATTTACTACTGTAACATGTCTATTGGTGCTAATCTTCGTACGATTCTATCACTAAATGCCGTAGATGGCTCTAATTTGCTGGTATCATGCCGCCAATATCGTTGGTCGTTGATTGATCCTGTGTGATACTAAAACGATCTTATTACTGATCCGGTGGATATTACATGGCTTTGTCATTTATTATGTATGGCTCGTCATGTAGTTTGAGGTGTTGGTGTGACTACTATACGTGGTGTTGATGGATGGATAATGGTGAAATGATGTGTTGGTTATATATAATGGTAGGGTAGCTGTATGTATCCGAGATATGATAACCCTATAGATCACAGCTACCGAGCAACAATACCACGACTACACAATTCACGGTAGCCAAAAGTCCTACAAACAAAGAGTACGATCAGATACAGGACCTAGATACACTAAAAACCTCATCTACTGCCATCAAACCACCAGTCTTGGTGTGATGATGATGAAGAAGAAGAAGAAGACAATAATGAGGAGATGATGCCTAAGGCACACAACAATAGCGGAACTACCGGAGAACACGTAGCGCGTCGACTACCATACACAGCAAGCGACTCGCACAAGTTAAAATGGTATTGATTGAAGTGCTGTAGATTATGGGATGGAAACTACTATTCCTACTATCATTGATGCTCTCGTATGATGGACAATATTTTAATTTCCCAATTGCTCTACCACGACAGCCCTGCACGGCACCAAGAACACGCGAGCCTCAACACTCACAAAATACGATGCTCATACCACGAGAAAGCTACAAATACACAATGGAAAGATGTGATCATTTTCGACCGTTCGTATTCATATCGGATCGCGTCAAGGTCGCACGATCCTCTTTAGCCTATGGCACCAGCCGAAGCGTAAAAGGCCGCTATGATACAGAAATTCAACCACGACCACCAGCAGACCAGTAGTGGACGCGTGTAATAGTAAATAAAATACGACAAAGCAAACCCAGACCCATGATACTTGTAATAAAAAGATCAAGAACACCCCAACGTCCCAGTCATACCATGAACCAACCCGAAAAAGCAACCCGTCGCGTCACTGCTGCGGAAGGACAACTGACGCGCCGACCGCGCAGGATGGCTAAAAAGAAACAAGCAGGAAAATAGAAAAGGCGTTTAACCACCGAAACCGTAGAGGGTACCTAAAAGATTGCATGTTAGACGTGCCGGACATGACCAAGCCAGAACAGATAGTACTTACGGCCCTGTCTCTTAAGAGCGTAGACGACGTCAAGGGAGGTGACGGTCTTGCGCTTGGCGTGCTCAGTGTAGGTGACGGCGTCACGGATGACACCCTCAAGGAAGGTCTTGAGGACACCACGGGTCTCCTCGTAGATCATGGCAGAGATACGCTTGACACCACCACGACGAGCGAGACGACGGATAGCGGGCTTGGTGATACCCTGGATGTTGTCACGCAAGATCTTGCGGTGACGCTTGGCGCCACCCTTGCCGAGACCCTTTCCACCCTTTCCACCTGTAGAGACGCGTCAAGTCAGTCACTGTCGGTCGTGTAGACAAGCATGGACGATCGAGATAGATAGACCATGATGAGAAGTGATGAACTTACGGCCAGTCATTGTGAAGGTTGTCTAAAAAGTAAACGGAAATAAAGTTGAATTAGAGTTGAGGGTGAAGATGGTGGAGATAGTTAAGCGTTTTAGAGTGAGATGGATGTAAAAGGAAGAGGGCAGAGAGCATCCATGGGACGGGAGATATTTGTATAGCAGAAGGCGCGCCGCGGGGAGGGCGTTGGAATCACACGCTAGAGGGCGGATCGACCAATCAGAGCTCAGGATCCCGGCCAGCGGACTGATCTGGCGGCAACGTGACCGGGCAGGGATGATTCCGCTGGGATGAGACTGATTCCCATGGGAATGCTCCCAACCACCTAGATCAGCAGTCAGAGAGTGTCAGGGACATTCCTGTCGATGGCCATGAGCCTCTCCAACAGGTTGATAGGATCACATTCCGGGCCTGAGGTTGGGATCAAGGTGAGGCAGGGGCAGCTTCTAGATCCGTGATCCTGGCTTCCTATTGGCTGGCGGGCACTAGGGCGCTCGCTTAGCGCTCCGAGCAGGCAGAACGGGGACTGACCGCCTTTGGGCACTTTTGATTTTCCCAGCGAAAAGTGAGTCCCGAAATCACGGCTTATGGTGTGCTGCTTTCCGAACACTTTTTCGATCAAAGGAACGGCACGCTAAGGCCCCCTCCCTTTGCTGGCAAACCCAGATCACCACCCACCCTTTCGCTTACTACAAATACCTCTCCCCACCCGCCTCCTCCATCCTTCTTCCATCTCCTCATCCCGTCCACCCTTATCTATCAACCTTCATCAACCTTCCATCCTCAACGTCATCTTTCCATCTCTAAAACAACTAAATCCATCAAACTTAATCCACTAAGATGGCCCGCACTAAGCAGACTGCCCGTAAGTGCAACCTCACTGTCCTTTCCCTTCGTGTCGCTTGACCGCGTCATGGTCGCGACACCCGTGTCTCACTTGAGGAACATCACTAACTATCATCTCATTATAGGTAAGTCCACTGGTGGCAAGGCTCCCCGTAAGCAGCTCGCCTCCAAGGCTGCCCGTAAGGCCGCTCCCTCCACCGGAGGTGTCAAGAAGCCTCACCGCTACAAGCCCGGTATGTATACACTCACCATCCCAAAGTGGCAAAGTGCCTAGTCGAACAGTCAACTAACAGTCTACCAAAGGTACCGTCGCTCTGCGTGAAATCCGTCGTTACCAGAAGAGCACTGAGCTCCTGATCCGCAAGCTGCCCTTCCAGCGTCTTGTTCGTGAAATTGCTCAGGACTTCAAGTCGGACCTCCGCTTCCAGTCTTCCGCCATCGGTGCTCTTCAGGAGTCCGTCGAGGCCTACCTCGTCTCCCTCTTCGAGGACACCAACCTGTGCGCCATCCACGCCAAGCGTGTCACCATCCAGTCCAAGGACATCCAGCTTGCCCGCCGTCTCCGTGGTGAGCGCTCTTAGATTTACTTCTAATGAGTCGGTTCTTTTTTCTGGTTGGGAAGGCGATAACGGGGTTTCTTTTTCTTTAATTTTCATGACTACTGGCGATACATGATGGGTTTGCGAATTTCAATGGGTTTCGGCACTGGGTTTTCGTTATTTCTTGCTGCGCAATAAATAGTAGCTGCCGATTCAGCGGCTGGGTGGAATTGATCATGGGGACGCATCCGAATATGTACATTAAAGAAAGCTTTTATTCGACGTGACTTCCTTCGGGAGCGCCACCGGATGGCATAGACGCGAAATGCAGTATCTATGAAACAATCCAACCCGGTTTGAGATCGCGATGTTGTACTCTTGTAGAATGCGTAGACTAGTGGCACGGTCGCAGCCTAGTGCTGCCTGCTGTGGGTGGCCGCACACAGTTACTCCCGGTCGACCACAGTACTACGGCAGATCTACGCTGCATGGTTGATGGACTTGAAGGTTTATTTAGTAGTTAGCAGGAGGCACTAGTGATGCTGCAGGGCTTGCGTTCTTTCTACATAATGAATAAGTGTCTGAATGTGCGACCGTGTGTGATATTTTCAGCAATGTAACGTCGGCATTCAATGCTTGGATTCTTACCACCGTTTCCGTTACTTCCTGTACGCACTCCTTATCATAATGTTGCAATGGAAACGAAGATTTCCAGATTATCTCTGATATTCGACCAATAAATTCCCATGGCCAACTGCAACATACCGAGTCAAAATCGGATGACGACAGCAAGAACAGCGGGTGATTTGTGGCTTTATTTGGTACACAACCGAATACTGCCTGCGGCTTACCGGTTCGCCACAGTAAGGGGGTTAGGGTGTCTGGGTATCGAGTGGGTGATATTAGCAGCAAATCGCAAATTATAGAGTATTCGGGTTATGGCAATAGAGATCGATGTGCTTAGTTTGAAGGATAATGAAATATGAATCTAGATTAAAACAGCAGCTTCTTTTATTATTATTATCGCGACACGGACGTTTCGCGTCTATTCTAAGTAGGGTCGAGAGTAGAATGGGTAGTGGCAATCCCTGTTCAGAGCTTGAAAGGACTGGGAGATGGTTCGCAATTCAAAGGAATGACAACGGGTATGTGCAGCTGTCTTGCAGAAAATACGTAGGTTTCCTCTTTTCAGTTGGATTTACGATGGCGTATCTCTCATATGGGGATTTCCTACAAAGGACTACGTCGCCTGTGCATTGCTGAACCGAAGTATCGTTCCCTACGTCCGAGCCTGCAGATTATAGAGCAGGGGAATTAATCCCTATGAATGGTAATATTTTCTCGATATAATCTCCGGGATATTCTCTCGAATATTCTTCATTACACTGGGGCGCTTAACAAGCGGGCAAGGATCGCCAATTCGCCACCACAATCACCAAATCTTGTCGGGATGCGATGACCACCATTTTAGTACCTCACCAGTATCCCTCCCATACAGCGCAACGATAGCCACAAAATACTTGAACAGCAGTTATGCGAATAATATGCAAAAGGTTATATACGCGTGATTAATGATGTGCTTGCTGAAGCTTCCGGCGAACAGTGATCATCATCGGAGAATATAATTGGAAGGCTCGAGGACAGGTAGGTTGACTCCGGGCCGCCGGGTCGCAGCATCCCGTCTATCTGCAGGTTCGTTGACTGGCTATCCTATACAATTGGCTTTGGTACCATGGGAGAGAAACGATTGTGATGAGATGGGCAATGCTGAGGTTAGGAGTTGATTCAGATGATGATGTTGGATGAACTCGAGTTGTTGGAGAGTACTGGATGCTTGGTGTGGTCGACGCGGTCGTTATCAAAGTATCTTGTCAATCAAGTAAGTGGTCAGTGTATGTGCCTTTATAGGTGGAATAGGATAGGCTGCTCATCTCGATGGTAAGAGCGTCGATCAAAACCCCGATAACTTCATTTTCTTCCCTTCGTCTTCTGGGACCATAATCAGTAGTCTGCAGGTAGGATGTTGTAGTTCAGCCTGAAAGACCATGACGTTTGCTCGGACGCATATCGGGCGGGGCGGCGGGGACAGACTTAACCCGCATCATAGGCAGGTTGGCGGTAGCACGGATAGTAGCGTGTTTATGTATGTATGGCAATTCATAGAAGTATTAATGGATGTTGGCGATAATTGCATCTCAATAGGGAAGGAAATTGCTAGTACCATCATCTCCTCCCTAAGGATCAGTGAAAGCTGAATACATAGTAGCGCCGATCATGAATTGAATTGCTACTAGTTATACTCCGTTACCGTCGGGCCCGTCACGAAGATATATACAACCAGCGTCAGATCACTACAGTACTACTAACGATAACAAAGAGACTAATTATGTTTCATATACCCTACAATGAAAAACTACATAGATGTCACTAAGCCTGACTGATTAGTATTGCCTAAGGCACCGAGAGGGTCTCGGAGAAACCTGACATGGCGCACATACTGAGTTGTGCCGAACCGGGGTAATATTCCCCTTGCGCGAGGCACGCTGCTTATCCAGCAACACCAACATTGATATTCTGACCACGAGTATTACTTGTGGGGGAACATCACAACATTATCTTGGACATACAGCACACCAGTAACTACGGCGCGTTTCTCTGTTCTGCATTGGCAATGAGCCAAGTTAGTTGCTTGATTGTTACCCACACACCATGCCTATCTGTAGGTAAACCAGCACGTTCACTGCACATCGAGATCGCGATGACTTCTGCCCTCGGAACATGCTGAGACTCCGAGTCAGGGTCTGATATAATATGTGTCCAGAATCCCCCAACCCCGCTCGCAATAGAACAACTGTTCATACTCCATAGGTAGCCTGGGTGATGGATTAGTCTGACTTCGGTGATCGACATATCCAGTTGGATCAACATCATTATCGTTGCCATGATTCATGGTCAAATTGCGGTGACTTGAATTTAGCCGATCGATCAAACTCTTCAGCTGAGCAGCACGAAAACTCCCCGTATCGAGATATCACCGGCTATGACCGACACGCAATCGGATAATCCAAACTCTGAAATCGCGCTAGGCTAGTGATCGTCTACAACTAAAGTAACTTCATCTCTCAAAGCCAATGATATCGTGCTACCCAGAATATTGCACCTCCGCTGACCCAACAAGCGATGCAGATACCCGATAATTCCTACGATAGGCCCAACAAAAGAAGTACGAGGTAGATACATGCTGCAGAGAGAGACCGGGGCCGGAGTTTCATTCGGGGCATAGACCGCGTCTACAAACCAGGCTGCCTGAAAAAGCAACAAGACCACAGCTTGATTAGATTGCAAGCGCGACTGCCCGAAGTTTGATACATCACAATCACACACGATGTGCGCGATCGGAGCCTGATTTAGCCCGTTGTCGGAATTGTCGCCATGTCCCACCTCGTAATCCATCGCACGAAAATAGAGGATCAAATATCGGTCAATGCAACCCAATATCAGAGCAACCGATACCTGTCTCAGATTCGCCCATATCACGTACTCTTATAACCAACATGCAGGTGCCTCTGGGGCTGATGCGGTTCGTGCATACGGCCCATGACTTCAAAATTGATTGTTCTCCGTAGTTCATCGGTCTCTCTTACCATTTATGCCAGACATTAGTAATCATTACTGAATCACTCGCATTGCGTGAGACAAGATTCATCAGCTCCTCAAAGCAAACCTTAAGGGAGTGGGTCAACGGAATGACCGACAGATCGCGACCTCGGCAGACTTCTTGATATGAATCTTGATTGAGTGATCAGCGATATGAACTTAGTCTTCAGATAATGCGGTGAATCGTGTCATCTGTGCCTGGCTATAGTGGCAGCCCTCCCATGTTTAACGATGGAAAAGCCATGCAATTTTGAAAAGGTCAACTCCTTGTTAGCAAGGATTCGTTATGACTCCTGTCTCAGGAGTCAATATCAGCACTACGATAAGTAGGACAATAAGTAATGTTGACCGGCAGACTAGCTGGTGCCTAGCCTTGTCACACACTCAGACAGTCACACGGTCCACGAATGACCCTGGGATCAGACGACGTCGGACATATCACCCAAACGAGCGGATGCGTTGACGCTGTGCAGATGACTGCTGCATCGCTGGAATTATGCCGTCGGAATCCCTCCGCCAGCTGGACCTGCCCGCCTTCCAATCTAGGCAGGCAGTGGTCCACCTAGGCCAAAGCAGGATTAGTGATCCATGGATCATCTGCCTTCTAGAAGCCACACTAACCACAAAAAGGCCAATATGCGACTGTGCATAAAATCTTTGCTTATCAACTTTTTGTTTGTTTGTGTGGGCGGTGAGAACAGACAAGAGACATGAAGACAGAAATCAACCGCCACTAATCTTGGTGATCGGCATCTTTGCAGCTCCAACAATGGGCTTTTCCTGTCAACTCTGAACGACTCTTGTTCGGCAGTTTTTACCGGAACTCAATCTGACCTACACTCGGGCATAAGCCCGTAGCTATCAGTCCTCTTCGCAGCAAGCACTGTCATGTTACGTGGCCTGGAAACAGGGAGTCTAGAAGGTGTCTTTCGCGATATCGTTTATCTCTCTGGACCTCGGTAAGTTTCGCCCCTCGACAAAAGACAGCTCGAGAAACTTCCTACCCAACGGTGGTGACGCCCCACTATCGGACCTGAACTAATCGAGAAACGAAATTGCGAAAGAAATTATTTCGAATGACTCCTCCTGCCACGAGGTCCGCAGATTCGCCCATGGATCCTCAGCCGCCTGGGCTGGTTCGGTCCACCTCAGCCGAGCCCGATCACTCTCGAAGCCTTCAACACGGCCTCCACCTCGAGCTAATGCGGTGCATAAGTCCGGACTAATATGCAGACATCGGCTGCATGGCCCCTTTTCCGTCTCGGGTGGGCTGTGCTTCCCTGGGTCGAAGGGCCTTTTGCGCACCTCGTCTCCGTCCGCCCTGATTGAAACCGGTGCTGATCCCGAGGCTAAATGCAAACGATTAGTCGTAAGTGACGCCGCTTGGCGCTCGATGGGGGTGGGAAGGAAACAGAAATTTCGTGGACCCCGTTTGATTTGTATATATAACCAGGGGTCCATCCTCGATACCCCCTACGGAGGAGACTTTTGCAACCTTGTTTTAAGGTAGTGATCAGCCTGGTTATCTTGATCTGACGTCTCCGGCCGTTGAGATCATCCCCCTACTACATCCAGACCAGCACCTTATTACGACATATTTCTCGACGCCCAATTACACCTCGGCTCTCCCGCTTGTTTACTAAACACCGCAACCATTTCACCATCACTCGTACTTATCCCCCCGCATATCGCAAGCAGACTTCGGCCCTCCCATATGGCAACCGAGAAGGGGGATAGCGGGCCCTCAGTGATTGAGGCGCCTGAAAGTCGCACCATCCCGTTCTGGCGTCTACTCACCGATCAGGGTGTGGTAACCCAGGAGATCATCGACTACCACTATCCTGGCTCTGGCACGGATGAGGATCCCTATGCGGTAACATGGCTTCCTAATGATCCTCGCAACCCGATGCAGTTCAGCGCGGCCAAGAAATGGTCTTTCACTATGGTGATGGCCCTCGCAACCCTGGCTGTTGCCCTGGTCTCGTCCGGATACACTGGTGGTGTCCTTGAGATTGAAGAACAATTTGGAATTGGCACAGAAGTTGCAACGCTCGGTGTTTCCCTCTTCGTCCTCGGTTTCGCAGTTGGTATGTCTTTCATATACCTGTGCAGCCCTCCACATACAGCTAACATATAACTAGGCCCCTTGCTATGGGCCCCTCTTAGTGAGATGTTTGGCCGACAAATCATCTTCTTCTTTACGTACATGGCTCTTACTGCCTTCAGCGCAGGCAGTGCCGGCTCGCAAAACACATGGACCATGATCATTCTCCGCTTCTTCGCTGGTTCCTTTGGGTCGTCTCCCATGACCAATGCAGGTGGTGTTATTGCTGATATGTTTGCTGCCAAGGACCGTGGTATTGCCACGAGTCTGTTCGCTGCGGCGCCTTTCCTCGGTAGGCTCCATTCCTGATCTCTCAAGTCTCATCGCCCGCAGCTAACTTAAGCACTGTAGGTCCCGTTCTTGGCCCCATCATTGGCGGATTCCTGGGAATGAATGCGGGATGGAGATGGGTGATGGGCTTTCTCGGTGCCTTCTCTGGATTCGTCTGGATTATTGGTTCTCTCACCGTTCCTGAGACTTATGCGCCAGTGCTTCTTCGTCGCCGCGCCGAGAGACTGAGCAAGCTCACTGGTAAGGTGTACCGGAGCAAGCTGGACATTGACCAGGGCAAGACGACAATCAAACAAGCATTCAAAACCGCCCTGTCCCGTCCTTGGATCTTGTTGTTCCGTGAGCCAATTGTGTTCCTGCTGTCTCTTTACATTGCCATTGTCTACGGTACCCTGTACATGTTGTTTGACGCCTACCCCATTGTCTTCCAGGAGTACCGTGGCTGGAACCAGGGAGTTGGCAGTCTGCCTTTCTTGGGTATCATGGTTGGCATGCTTGCTGCTGTCGCCTACAACATCTGGGATAACAAGCGCTATATCCGGGCACAGGAGGCGCACGGTGGTTTTGCCCCCCCGGAGGCCCGTCTACCCCCCTGCATGGTGGCCTCTATTGCTGTCCCGATCGGTCTCTTCTGGTTCGCATGGACCGATGCTCCGTCCGTTCACTGGATGGCCAGTATCGCTGCCGGTGCTCCATTCGGATTTGGTCTGGTTTTGGTGTTCCTGAGCAACCTGTCTTACCTGATTGACACGTACACGATCTTTGCCGCGTCTGTCCTGGCGGCCAACTCAGTCATGCGGTCCATCTTCGGTGCTGTGTTCCCCCTGTTCACCACCTACATGTACGAGAACCTCGGTATCCACTGGGCTACCTGTGTCCCGGCTTTCTTGGCCCTTGCCTGTGTGCCGTTCCCTTTCCTCTTCTACAAGTACGGCCCTGCTATCCGCACTCGTTGCAAGTACGCCGCCGAGTCCGACGCCTTCATGCGCAAGATGCTGGAGCAGCTCGCGAAGAAGCCCGATCCCGAGGAGGAAGTTATCGCGGAAGAGAAATTCGACCGTACTGAGGCCCCTGCTCCTGGGGTAGAGGCTGACGACTCCGACTCTAGCACCGAAGCACACATGCCTGCGGCCCATCGCACTCAGAGCAAGGCTTCGGTTCGGACAGCGAAGCAGTCGCTCTACGAGGGCAACCCCTATGATATCGACCGGGTGCACACCCGCGAATCATTCAAGCAATGAGTCTAGTCTCCATCTGCGGGACCCGACTCAACCATACATTTACTACCGACCTTGTGAATAATCTTTAGTACTTATTATTACACCCTCCTCCACACCTACACCCTCGACAGTTCCACATTTTTGTGGATTGTCAACACGAGATGCGAATGATGGCAAGAAGAAAAAGTCTGTGAATTGTTAAATGACTTGCATGGTGATATACCCAGTTTGATGTTTGCTTTGGCATTTCAGTTCGCATTAGCATGATAGATGGCGGTGATTTTTTATTGAACGCATACGGGCCAAGCAGCCCTACCAGTGATATAATGAGATAATTGCAATATATACTCTATATACTACGACTCTGATATTGTTCTATTATAAGCCTGTCAGCAACTAGTAGTCAACAAAAGTTAAGCCTCCCCGGATAAGTGACTCCGGGACGATCGCTATCTCCGACGACCGATCGGAGGGAGATAATCTCTCCCCGATCCTCGGCTACCGCGGGCTTATGCGCTGCCGACCCTGATAGCCTTTTGAAACTTTTTTCTCCAGGGCAGTGTTAGATTTCGTCAATCTGTTACTTCTTCCTTTTATTTTCCATGTCAGCCTGAATTTATTCTTCAAGTGATACATCTCATCGGGCTTCTCGCTGGCTGGTGGCTAACGCAGCAAAGACGTGGCTGTTCTGCTTCCGGACTAACTATTTACTTATCGCCTTGCGCCCGTCGAGTCATTAATTTATCCTCCCTGGGGGGAAGTCCGTCAGCAAGACAATCCACGACTCGCCTTTTCTTCGCAGTCCCAACTTCTCCAAACACTCCCTCCCTTCTAAACATATTCGCCCATATCACAACACTTTATATACATTATTACCTCCTTCCTAGCGACCTCAACACCCACCAAAATGAACAACCACCACATCCTCATCCGCCGAATACAACCACTCCGGGTCCTCCGACGCCAACCACCACGAAGAAACCTCTCCACGACCCCCCGCAGCGCAGAACCTCACCACAATTCCGTTCCTGAGAAACCCCACCCTCCAGCGAACAACCCACAGCCGGCTCCCACAGTGCCTGGTCCGGTCGCATCGACCACCGCCCCCGCCCCCGGATCGGTATCCGCATCGCGAGCATTCATCCAGAGAATCCAGGCTGGCCCCGTTGGACGAGTGGCGCGAGCGTATGCGCGTGTGCAGGAAAGACGACCCTACCGGACGCAAGTGATCAGTACGATCGTGGTGTATCTGTGTGGTGATCTGGGTGCGCAGTTGTTGTTTCCGCCGGATAATGGTTCATCCCGGGAGGAGCAGACGGGAGATCAGAAGGAAGAAGCAGGGAATAACAGTGGAGGAGTAGTTGGAGGAGGGTATGATCCGTGGCGGACGGTGCGGCATTTGACGGTAGGAGTGGGGAGTGCGATTCCGACGTATAAATGGTGAGTGTCGCGGTAGTTATATCGTGGGGATTGCTATGCGATGTGATGGCTAATTCAGAGGCGGAATTAGGTTCATGTTCCTGCACCACAACTTCAACTACTCGTCCAAGTTCCTCTCCATCCTGACCAAGGTCTGCGTGCAACAGGCGGTGTTCACTCCCGTGTTCAATACCTATTTCTTCGGTCTGCAGTCGTTGATGACGGGCAAGTCGTTGGAGGAGACCTTTGAGCGGCTCAAGGTCGCTCTGCCGACGAGTATTTCGAATAGTGTGAAGCTGTGGCCGGCTGTTACGGCTTTCAGCTTCATGTATGTGGCGCCTCAGTTCCGGAGTATCTTTTCCGGTGTCATTGCTGTTGGGTGGCAGACGTATTTGAGTTGGTTGAATCAGAAGGCTGCGCGCAAGGTCGAGGCAGAGAGGACGGCGTCGGTGGAGGTGAGTGCTGGTGTTGGCGCGGTGGCTATGAAGGCATAATTGCCATCCATTCTTTATTTTCCTTTGTGTGATTGATACAACTTCTTGATATCCCTGCGATGTATTGGCGGATTTGGTTTGGATATAGATATAGACTCCCTCGGTTATGGATTAGCCGGCAACTTGTTTAGAAGAGTGAGCAAGCAGTACATAGATAGACATGAAATAGAGATCATTAGCAGAGATACCCTCGTCAACAATTGAGACATGACAAATAACAATAAGAGAAGAAAGAATACATAATATTAATTAATTCATGGCCTGATCATCATATGACGTGAGAGGATCCGAGCGCCCAGACCCGAACTTTGGATCTCGTCGCGACTCTTCCTTCTCAATGCCACCATCTTCCACCACACGCGGCATGATTCCCTCCCTCGCATTGCAGGCATGTCCTGCCCTCCACCAGCAGCATCTTCTGTAATTCCCGGCGCCTTCAATGACAGCGACGACAGCAGCAGCAGCAACACCACAGATTACGGCTCCGATTTCTCCCCAGAAGAAGACGCGCTGCTGACCGACCTGCTCGCCAAGATCGCCCCGGATCGCCACGCGACTCCCCCAGCAGAAGAAGCAAACGCAGATCCACCTCCTTCTCAGGTCCCACCTGTCATTCGAGACATCGAAGACCAGTATGCGGATCCCTCAAGCAGCCGGGTACCTAAGGTCCTTGGGCGCGAGAAGCCTACATGGCCGCAGCGGAATTGGACGAATCGGCCGGGTGGCGGCGGCGGCAGTGCTGGCGCAAGATCAGCGGCGATTCCAGGCTACTACGGTCATGCCGCGTCTGGTTAGTAGATTCCCTTTATCTCTTATTTATGTGTTATTGTTCGTTCGTTCGTGAGGAGATTGGGACAGGGTAGTGGCTGACGGTGAAACTTCCCTCGAAGCGTTTAGTTGAGCATCCGAATTCGACAGAAGGGCGCGAAAGAGATCGTGAACGCGAGGCAGCTCGTCATCAGGAACGGATAGAGAGGGAGAATAACAATAACAGCAACAGCAGCAACAGCAACAATAATGAAAGTGCCGAGGTGGATACAAGGTCACCTGTGGAACGATTCCGACGGCCTCCGATGAAAGCCTTTTCAGTCACGGATCTGATCTCGCCGGCGTGGTGTGAGCTACAGTATTGGTATACGCTGACCAAGTTTGGGCGCAAGCCGAGGACAGCGGCGATGAAGCTGGGAAGTAAAATCCATAAGACGCTTGAGGATGAAATCTACACCACGGTTCCCGTGGATATCACTACTAAGGAGGATGCGCTGGCCTTGCGGATTTGGAATATCATCCAGGGTTTGCGCATGCTGCGGGAGTTTGGGATTACTCGGGAGTTGGAGGTCTGGGGATTGGTGGATGGTGAGCTGGTCACCGGCGTGATTGACCAGCTTTCTTATGACTGTCCTGACCCGGAGCTGGAGGCCACCGCTGCGACGTATTATGCTGATGTTGAGGCGTCGAGGGCTATCTTGCCTGAGTATCAGATGTCGTTGTCGGATTACCTGCTCTCTCCGACTGGGGGTGGGAGGCTTCTGTCGGAGGTGTATGGGCAGGATGATACACCCGCAAAGGCAGATGGTTTGGATATGGACATGGCCAACAGCAGCCAGGAAACCGATAACTTCCCCCACCAGCCACGGATCTACCTTACCGACGTCAAAACACGCGGCAGCGGCTCCGTCCCAACCGTCAAGAGCTCCTCATTCCGACCTACTCTCCTCCAACTCCAACTCTACTACCACATGCTCAACCGCCTCGTCCTCAGCGACGACGTAACCATCGACCTCCTCGCCTCGCGGTACAACCTGGACCCCAACCGCCCTTTCACCGACGCCTTCATCAACGAAGTCGGTGGTCTGAACGACCAATTCTTCGACGCCATGTCATCCCAAGAATTCGACCCCGACTATATCCCCACTCCACAAGACGCCATCGAGCATCCCCAGCGTCACCACCCCTCTTCTCAATCCCAACCCGAATCACATCCTTCCTCCCAATCCTCCAGCGAAGACTCCACCGCCATCCTCTCCACCCACAACACCCTCACCACCCTCTGGACCCTCATGAAATCCCACCTCCGGCTCACCTTCCTCCCCTCCCCCCCAACAGCATCCCCCTCCATCCCCTCCGGATTCCAACCCCGCAGTCTAGACCCCTATCCCACCATTCTCTCTCCACTACTTACAGCGCGATATATCTCGTCGAAGCCGAGTGCGGACCTCCAACCGCCCCGGGTGCTCGGGAGTAGGTCGTTCCTGTTCGATCCGACGTCCATGTCGTCGTATGTGGCGGATCAGATGCATTGGTGGCGCGGGGAGAGGGATCCGCGCGGTGTGGAGGTTATGGAGGCGTGGAAGTGTCGGATCTGTGATTTTAGGGATGATTGTGAGTGGAGGAAGGAGAGGGAGTGGTTATTTGCGAATAGGAGAATGGGGAGGAAGAGTAAGGTTGAGGGAGGTGTTGAGGTTGGTGTTTGATTAGTATATACTACTACTACTAGATGTGTGCGTGATTTTTAGGGGTGTTGGTTGGTTGGTTGGCGTTATGGATAGGGGAATAGACTACTTCCATATAAATACAGAATATAACAGTCTCAGAGACAATGCTGATGAAGATTGAATGAATGTTATATGCTCACGGATAGTAAGTATATCAAGGATATCGACAAGAACCAGAAATACAGACATCACCAATAACTCAAAGAGGATACTTCCTCACCTCATCCTCCAACTCGACCCTCAACCCCCTATCGAGCTGTTCCTGATGCTTCCTATCCAAAAACTCCAACAACACATCCCCATACCTCTCCCTTCCCTTATAAACCGCCACATCATCACCCCAACTCCTCACCGCAGAAGCCAACCTGCCCGGAACATACTCCTCCTCCACAATCTTCGTAATGGGTTCAAAATACGTCCGAATCGTAAACACCACGCCTCCCGACCTCGGCAACCGTCTCAGACTCTGCCTCTCAGACCGGAACCAGTGATTCTCAATCGCCTTGTTCTTCTGCGCCGTGCTCCACGACACCTCCTTCGCGTCCTCGGACCCGATACTATGCGACCAGGGTAAGCTGTCATCGACTTGGATGAAGTAGTTGTTCCGGAGAACAGGGTCTTCTGGTTTCAAGCGCCGGAAGAAATTCATCATTCCCTTTTCGAGTTTCTCGGTGTATTGCGGGACGGAGCCCGAGGTGTGGATTTCGGAGAGTCGCATGCCGTATTTGTCGGAGAGGCGCCAGAATCCGGCGAGGAGGACGGCGCCTGCTAGGAGGTAGTATTCGCCGTCGGGTCGTTCGATCATGATGGCGAGGTCGTCTTGGATGAGGCGCGCGGCGATGGTCATGGGGTCTTCGGGGAGGGGCCGCTGGGTTATGTTGAAGGTTTCGTGGGTGACGAGGTTGGTTAGGCCTGTTGGGGTTCTTTGGAACATGGTTGGGTAGCGTTCGGGGAGGTAGGAGGTTAGCTCTTCGAGGAGCTCGATGGCTGCGTCCCAGGCTTCCGGGGCGGTTTTGCAGCATTTGTCGCCGCGTTCTGCGATGCGACGGGCCTTGTCGGCGTGGTATTTGAGGTAGTGGTTGTCGAGTTCTAGTGAGGTGGTGTTAGTATGTGAAGGTGTAGGGTGTGGGATTGGGGGATGGGTCTCACCAATCCATTCGTCCCAGTTCATGCTGCGTAGACCCATCGTGACGAAGTACTTGCTGTGGATGGTCAGATTGATTGCTGGTTGTAGGTGTGTACTTGGCGGATCACTTACGGTCCATATCTAAATGGTCGATAGGGAATGGGCTTGGTCGTGTGTACATCCCAGTCGGGATACGGTGATGCTGGAGGCCGTTTGAAGTCCGATGGGATCCATTCTACATTACTGGCATCAGTTATATGGGCCTGTCTATGTGGGTTGCTGGAGGTAGCTCACCTCCCGGTTTCCTGGTAACTGCGACCGACTTCTTCTCGAGATCTGGGGTGGATGATCGGGGGACGTCTGGCTTGGATGTTGTCGTCCACCAGTGGAACGCTCGGGTGATGAGCCAGACGCTGATACTGGTTACTGCACTGATCAGGGCAATATCGTAGATGGGAGATTGGCCAAAATTAAGCGATTCAGGAAACATGATGACTGAGGATGGTTCACGGTGGTCGGAAGCAGGTCTGTGCTATCACCATGGCGGAGATAGTCCCGGGATGCCGGGGGATATGATATATGATATATACGAAGTAAGAGAGAGAGAGAGAGAGAGAGAGGATGGAACTAGCTATGCAGATGATGCGCAAGGTGCAAGCGCACCAATGAAGAAGGGCGCTGGGTGGGTTGCCAGAAGGGTTAATGCGATGCGAGAATGAACTCCAGCCAGAAGCTGGGGGTTTGAGATAACAGCCAGCGGGATTGATAGACGCTGCGTTGCCTGCAAACTCTCTTATCATCCGAGGATATCTTTCCCCAATCCGGCAAGGCCACCACACCGCCAGCCAAGCTCATTCGAGCGTTGGCTTCAGCATGACTTCTTCTCTTCTGCAGGCGCGCATCCACCATACGAACAAGGGTAACCGGGGGAGATATCTATGTACAGTAGCTTGAACCCCGCGTTTCCATAGCCAATCTATGCAACGTTTACTGTGACGTCGCTGCGTCTCCGCAGCAGACAGTACTCGCCCCATTTCCGCCGAAGAGGCTCTGGGGTGATAGGCAAATCCGGAGTCCAGATCAGCCGCCCCAGGAGTCCCGTCTGGGATGCGTCCAGGAAGCTATGACACGCCAGCTGCTCCCACTGCGTGTCCTCGTGGATGTAATCTGGCTCCAGCTCGGTTGCCTTCCGGCTCGGGAACTCCGAGTCTACCAGGAAGGAACATTGCGAGAGGTCGGTCTAAGCCAAAGATAAGCATGCGAGAGAGAGAGGAAGGAAAGACCGAGAACTTACGTATTTTCCGAGATCTTCTTCATTGCGATCGTTCATGCCCGTGGGAATCCGCGACGTCCCTTCAAAGAGCGCAGAGAAGTCCGCAGCCTCGGGAAACTCACCGGGAAGCAGTCCTCGGAATTCGCTGCGAACAAATTTGGCCCGCAGGTCGCTGGGGAGGAAGAAGGACGAGGGAAACCGGTACCACTCCTTGCCAAAACACACCGTATCGCCTGGCTGGGCGACTCCGGGCTGTGCCAACGGTTCGAAGACCTTCAGCGGAGCATTGTAGGCGCTCATGATCCCAACAATCCGCAGGAGACCAGAATTGAGGGCCATTAGGATTATTGACATGATCACTGCCAACTTGATCTTCGGTAACATACTCCCAGCTGACACATTGGGGTTACTGGAGCCAACGAACGACAGAATCATGTGGAAGGCAATGGACGCATTGAGCGCGAGGAATGGATATGCTGGGAACATGAACCGCTCTTCCTTATGTGGCTGGGCTGTGAAAATGGCGAACCACATGTAAAACGGGGTGATAAGTGTCACGGTTCGGAGCAAGGTCTGCACACTAGTCGCCTTGGGGCGGAAAAGCGCCTGAAGGGCAAGCAGCGGCGCAGCGGCCATAGCGAACGCAAACCAGATGTTGAAGTTGAGCAGCAAGTTCCGGATGTAGAAGGTCCAAGGCTCAACCCCGAAGATATCGGGACCTCTACCCTCTCCGCCAAAAACGTTGTACGCCACGATGTTCCAGGGTACAATAACAAGTTTACGCAGGAAAGCGTAGTCTACAGCAATTTCAAGAGCCTGGGAGAGTTAGCTAAGACGCAAGATGGGGAGGCCATGCAGGAAGTCATACCAGAATTACAAAACACCTCATCGCGCCATCCAGAACGCTTAGGACCATTCCTCTCACGTTTGACGACAACAAGCTGATAACAACCTCCTCCAATAAAAGAGGAAGCATGAGAGCCCCAGCAAACGGCCAGCCGACAATCGCCCCGAGCCCAAACCACATGATTCCCTGCGCCGTTTTCTGACCATCGCGCCAATCCAAGAACGCCGTCAGACCCAGCATCGACATATACATGGTGAAGCTAGATGGTAGGAAGGCGGTTGATGCATGGAACATGCCGGGGGTGAATGCGACGACCATGAGGAAGAGAAGGCCGATGCGGGGGCTCAAGGTGCGACAGATGGCGGAGTAGAGACGGGTCTCGCAAGCAGCGCACACCAGCGCAAGGAAGCATCTGATCGCATAGAACTCTGCAGACTTGCTGCTTAGAGCAAACGATCCGATTTTGCCTACCAGGGCATGTGTAGAGACATACAGCCAGCTTCGGATCGAGTACACCGGAGAGTACTCCCACGTCTGAAGCCCGTATCCATGGTTGAGATAATGCGTTGGTTCCCAGAAGTTAAAGACTTCGTCACAATCCTGTATCGGCGCGTAGAGGGCTGAAATCACATTGGTGATAATGCAAAGGTAGAGTGCGATGTTCAATGGTAGGTAAAATGGCGGCGGCGGCGGCCTTTTAGAATAACACGACTTATTAGCAGTTGCGGATGGAAGATGCCAGCTGGAGGAATACTCATACCGTTGTTTGGTGCGCGGAGTAGGCGCTGGCCCCTGTGGGGCCTCGCCTGTCCTCCGAGCAGGTGCCATTATAGCTTCTAGGAATGATCCACGGATGATGAATCCTCCTGTTGTCGCACTTGTGCTTGACGCCGTCGAATTGACGCGGTCGGAAAGAGAGTCCGGAATGAGTCCCGCGAGGCGGAAGAAGCGAGCAGCGCCGCTTATCGATAAGCGGCACCACGGCAACCCGCTTCTCCAGAACGAAAAAAAGTTCCCGTCGCAGTTTCATCACTCCTCCATTCCACCTTTTTCGCTTGTTTTTGGGGTGACTGTCCTTCGTGGTCCTTGGAGATTTCAAGATGAGTGATAACCAGTCCCCTGCTCAGCCTCTGGGCTCTTCAGAAGTCCCCAATGAGGGTCCTCCTGTCAAGAGACCCTGCACCATCGATACGCCACCCATTGCCTTGACGCCAGCGGACGATGGAAGCGATTTCTACAATACTCCCTTGGCTGTCGGGACACCAGCGGACAGTAGCGCTGTGAAGGACCAGGTCGATAGCGCTCAGAATCCGACCAGTGAGCCGGATGCCGCTTCACAAATCCATCCCCCCATTCCGGGTTTGAACCTGGTCAATGACAACGTCAAAGATCTGCAGCAACCACAGACGACCACAAATGCGGCCGGCGAGCAGAGCGATGCTGTCTCTACCAACCAGTCTGCTCCCGAACAGGCTGAGCCCGAGAAGATGAAGGAAACTAAGGCGGAGCCCGCTACCGATGCTATGGATGTGGATGCCAATGAGAAGCAGGAGACCCAACAACCAGCGGAGGCACCTGCCACTAATGGTGCTGAGGCTGCCCAGGAAGAAGAAGAAGACGACGAGCACCCCGAGTGGGAAATCGATTCCTCTCCCTACGAATCCTCATCCGACGACTCCTCCACAGACTCTTCCGATGACAGCGACGACGACGAAGACTACCCCATCCTGAGCCCCGAAGAACAAGCACGGATATTGATGCAGGCCGAACTTGGCTCTGACGACGAAGGCGATGGAAAAGGCAAAACCGGCGGCCATCTGAGAACAGCGAACGAAATGCCCGAAGAAGCACCTCCCATTCCTGAGGTTACCATTACACCCGAGATGAAAATTGTGCATCTGGGTCAGGTGGAGGCGATCGTTGAGAACACACTCCTTATTACTGCCAACACCAGCGGAGAATACCAAGTGCTCGAAGCCGGCTCGCTACTCTGTCTGGAGAACCGCAGTGTCGCCGGTGTAGTCTCCGAGACTCTCGGAAGGGTCGAGAACCCTCTGTATGCCGTTCGGTATCCGACCGCGGCCGCCATCACCGAGCGTGGCCTGTCCAAGGGAACGCATGTCTACTATGTCGAGGAACACTCCACCTTCGTCTTCACTCAACCCCTCAAGGGCCTGAAGGGAAGCGATGCCTCCAACTTCCACGACGAAGAGATCGCCGAGGATGAAGTCGAGTTCTCCGACGACGAAGCTGAAGCAGAGTACAAGCGCAAGCTCAAGCAGAAGCGCCAGGAAAAGAAGGACTCTCGGAACGAAAACGGCCCAGCAAGAGGCAGAAGAAACCCCCCAGGACCCTCCAAGCTCGGCCAAAGCGAACTGAACTACGACGACAACCCTGTTGACGACGGCTACACTCCGCTGGCCCGGCCGAAGAACCTGCACGAGATGATGCGCCAACAGGAAGCCCCCGTTGAAGCCGACGGCCACTCCGGCCACTCCGGCCCCAGCAGAAACAACTCCGGCTTCCGCGGTGGTGGCCGTGGTCGTGGCCGAGTATATGATCGTGGAGGTCGCGGTGGTGGTGGCCGCGGTGGTCGTCCCTCCCACGAGTCGGCTCCTCACCATCAAGATCGTCAACAATCATACTACCAGCCCCAAGCGCAGGCCTCTCATCAGTCTCAACCTCAACCTCAACCCCACGCCTACCCCCAAGCAGCGTACCCCACAAACCCGCAGGGTGCATACGCTCTCCCTCAGCAGTTCCCTCCCTTCGGAGCCTTCCAGCCGCAACAACCCCAAGCGTACGGACAAGGTTCTATGCCAACAGCACCGTTCAATTTCCAGATGCCTTTCCAACAGGCCTATCAACAACCGAACCCGTACCAACAGCTTCCTGGTAACGTGCACATCAATCCCTTGTTCCTGGCTGCCCTACAGCAGCAGCAACAACAGCAGCAGCAACAAGTACCGGGACAACAACAACCGCAACAACCGACGATGAACTTTGATCAAGTGAAAGCACAATTGGATCTTCTGCGGCAATTAAGTAACAACCAGAACCAGAACCAGGGACCTCCTCGTTCGTGATTTGTGATGATATGATTGATTGATTGATCTATATATTGCTATATGCGTTCCCTTTTGGAAATGGATCCTGGCTATTATTCTCTTTCCTTTTATTTAGTTATCCGGGTTCGGTTGCATTTTTGGAGCTACTAACTGGGCATCGTTTTTTGATTCGGTTCCGGATGGGTAATTAAAAAGTTTTATCTCATTCTGCACTATCGCTTCACGCTTCTTTAGAACTTCCAATATTATCATGGTCCGATGTACGGCGTACAGTGTACTGACATACGATACAAATGTCTCTGGATATAATTTGTGGGAAATCTTTCTGAGTTTGTTTATGATACAGAAGAGTAAATTGTAATTAGAAGGCGTGATAATGCTATGCCATGCCATGTCATGTGTAATCGAGCTCACGACTCGTTCTGTTTGGCACTCTTCGCCAATACCCAGAAATTCTCCAGCTTCGCGCGGGCCAAGACATCCTTAGCTTGGGAATCCGTTTCACACACTCGCGCACCCAGCCATTTCCGGAACGCGCGGGTCTTGACCTGACCTTCCCAGACAAGTTCGCAGGTATTGTGACTAAGGTCTTTCAGTTCCCCGGTTTGCTCGTCTTCAGCTGCTAGCCAGGCGGCTTGGGCCTCGCGGTTGCCCTCGCGCACCGCGTTCGGGCCAGCGTTCTCGGTCCAGTCAATCCGGTTCATCATGAGCTTTCTGTAGTTGTTGATAGAGTGGGAGCCTCCCTCGACAATCACGAGGTTGAAGCGAGGGTGCATGACGCATACTCCTGTGAGAGCGTTCTGTTCGGCATTCTTGCTAATCTTAAAGCGGTTTCGCCCGTTGGCGAGGCTGTCGATTCGATACACAGTCATTTGAATACCCTTCTCCGCATCGGCCTCCTGTTGCCGGGCAAGCTTCTCTCGACGTTCTTCTTTAGTAAGTTTGCGCTCCGCGTTCGCAGTCTCGTGTTTCTCACGACGTTCTGCGATTTCCCGGTTCACGCGTGCCTCCACGGCCGTGGGATCCTTGACGGCCTGTTCACCCAAGACTCGCATCAGGTTCGATTTCTTGACCTTTGGTGGAGGTGCTGGCTCGAGACCCAGTCGGATCTTCGCTTGTTGTTCCTTCAGATCTGCCATGCGGCGCTGGCGACGGATCTTGGCCTGTTCCTTTGGCGTGAGATACATAGGCTTCTGTGCTGGTAGTAGCTTTTCCTGCGGAGGATCGAGAAGAACTGGGTGTTGTACGTATTGCGTGATGATCGAGTCAGGCGTGTCGATTTTGAGATTTTGTTCATTTTCAATGCCAGAATAGTCCTCGCCGTTCACCAGACCTTCGTCCCACCATTCAATTGCGGGAGGGGCTGGCACGAGGAAAGCCTTCTCAACGTCCAAGTCTTCATCGATACCCGCCTGCCGTGCTCTTTCCGCAATCCGCTTCTTCATAGCTTCCAACTGAGCCTGCCGACGGAGAGCGGCGGCCTGCTGTATGTATTTGCCCTTCTGGTTGAAAATGAGCTGTCGCGTTTGTCGGGGCTTCGCTACTGTTGCTTTCGGACCAAGGTTTGGATCAAAGTATGGGTTGTTCTTGATTTCCTCTATAGACGGCCCCGATAGATCAAGTCCGGCTCGATCTGGCCTCCCCGCGGTAGCTGGCGATTCTGTACGTCGGGTCTTGTTTTGGGAAGTCTGCCGTCCTTTCGCACCCCGGAACTCGAGTGTATCGGAGAGCAAAGCGGGGTGAAGACCAACATCCAGACCACCTCGAGCTCGCGACGAGCCATCGTCTTCATCTTCGAATGGAGGAGGTTGAGGCGTCGGCGTAGGGGCGGGTCGTTGCGGAGGAGCAGCGTTGGCGCGACTGGTCGCTGCTGCCACTCTAGCTTTCATTTGTTCCAATCTCGACATGGCTGGACTGGCAGCAGGAGGCGTTGGGCTGGCACTTGATGCAGCCGGCGTAGGCGATGGCGATATACCCTTTGCCGCTTGAAGTCTGGCACGCACCGCTTCTGCTTTTGCTCTTGCTTCGGCCACCATCTTTTCAATATCAACCTTGCCCGCGGCAGGTGCGCCTTGAGCAGGCATTGGGGATCCATGATTGGAACGAGGTCTTTTCTGAGTGTTGTTGTCTTGGTCCTCGGGGTGAGGCCGCTTCAGCATGTTGCCTGATATGTCCGCCATGATCGGAGAGACAAATGAATGCTTCACTCACCCACGGAGATCAGCAGAGCGACCGACAGGCTAGCGATGGGATCGAAGTGAGAGAGTCGAAGAAAGGCAGCTCAATAAGCAAGATCTGGGGCCGGTCGCGAAAAGACGTCAACAATCGAGACAAGGAAAGGATCTCAAATCACGGGGCGCTGCAAGTGCCAACGTGGGTCCGCCGGCGGTGTCGCACGGCATAAAAAAAGTTGGGTGAAACTTTTCGCATCGTCGAGACCGACGAACCCGCCTTTTCTGCTTCCCAGGCCTTTAACCCCCACGAGTCCCAGAATTTGCACCGCCAGCGTCGTTTGTCGCTCAAGCGGCTGCCAGGGGAATCATGACTACTTTCGCTCGGCCTGTGGCCTCCTCCATTGCGGGGATTGAGTTTGGTGTCTACAATGATCAAGACATCAAGGCCATCTCGGTAAAGCGAATCCATAATACTCCGACATTGGATTCTTTCAACAACCCCGTTCCAGGTGGTCTCTATGACCCGGCTATGGGTGCATGGGGTGACCATGTGTAAGGATTCCCTTTCTTTGCTTTCGAATACCTT